AGCAGCAACAGTGTTCCAGAACCCACCCCCTAACTTCAAGAACAAAATCAGGAAGTCACTTGGAAGAATGAGCCAACAAAAAAAGAATGAGCTCATAAAGACCTATTAGGATGGCAAGGATGCTCAAGGCACAAATGCAGAAGAAGAGAATAACTCCAAAATATCTACAGGCAGTGCCTCAGAAAAACCACAACTTGAGCACAAATTCAACTAGAATTCCTGAAAGAGATGAAGCAAGAGGTTTTTTTTTTTAATAAAAATTTTTAAAATATTTTTATAAATGAAATGAAAGCACATGAAGAAGAAATTGGAAAGAAATAAGAGCCATGCAAGAAAGAATTGATAAGGGAAGTTAACAACTTGGCATGAGAGGTATAATACCTTGTTCAAGCAATATACTATGAAAACCATAACGGACTGATTAGAAGGCAATGACTTCATGAGATGAGATATTAAATCAAAGTCAAAAGACTGAAAAAAAAATTAGAAGAAAATGTAAGGCATCTCATGGCAAAAGCAACTGATCTGAAAAATCAAGGAGAAAAAATTTAAGAATCCCTGGACTCTGTAAACATCATGACCAAAAAAATAAAAGAGACTATACATGAAGAAATCTTAAAAGAAAACTGCCCAAATCTCTTAGTAGCAGAGTGGAAATAGAAAGAATTCACCAATCACTTCCTGAAAGAAACTCCAAAATGAAAAGTCCCAGGAACATGCTAGCCAAAATCCAAACCTTCCAGATCAAAGAAAAAATACTATAAGCACTTTTTTTTTTTTTGCATTATTTCAGATGTCCTTTCCAGAATGATTGGACCAAATTCTAGCTTCACCAACAATGCATTAGTGTGACTCTTTCTACAACCCCTCCAATAGTGACTGTTCCCATCTCTTGACATCTTTGCCAATTTGCTGGGTGCAAGGTAAAACCTCTGAGTTGTTGTGATTTGCATTTCTCTTAATATTAGTTATTTTTGGAATATTATTTCATATAGCTATTAATAGTTTTCCATCCTTCCGAGAACTTTTTAATGTGTCTCTTGATCATTTATCTCTTGGGGAATGGAAAGAACTGTATGAAGTGATATAATTTAAGATCAGCAGGTTCTATCAACTGCAAATATAATCTAGATATACTATATCTATATATATATATATATTTAAAGTACAAAACCAAATACAGCAAAATTTTATATAAGCTTAGAAAAAGACAATAATTTCGGTTTTTGCTTCTTTAATTTCTTTGATTCTACTCTTAAATGTTATGTGTCTCATACACTGTTTTATTGCTTATTTTATGTTTGATTAGAAATTTGTCTCGATGGTTATTAAATTTATAATATTTTTAAAAGATTAAAATTATGTACCTATTCATCTTTCATTATAGGTTCATAAATTTAGATTTGGAAGGAATCTTAGAGGGTATATCTAGTTCAACCCTCTTAATTTACAAATGAGGAAACTTGAGGGCCTAAGATTTATTTACCCAAGATCATGTAGGTGGTTGGGATTTGAACTCAAGTCTTTGTCTCCAGAGCTATTTATTCCTCATTTTTCTATGCTACACTGCCTCTTCATCCACAGCTAGATGGCACCATATTGCCACTATGACCACCCAGAGCACTAGGCCTAAAGTCAAGAAGACCTGAGTTCAAATTTAACCTCAGACACATACTACTCTGTCTTGCTTGGCAAGTCATTTAAATTCTGTTTGTCTCAGTTTCCCCATCTGTAAAATGAGGATAATAACACCTACCTCCCAGGGTTGTTGTGAGGACCAAATGAGATAATAATTATAAAGTGCTTAGTACATTGCCTTTCATGTAAGCGCCATACAAATGCTAGCTGATATTATCATCTCCCAAATAGGCACATAAATAACATTCAGTATTAAATATACTGCAACATGAGAATACTTGGGTTTTGTTCTTGTTGTGTTGCTTCAAATTCTTTCTCTTCCACTTCCTTCTCAGCCCCTTGCAATCTGGTTTCATTTCACTGAAACTGTTCTCATTGAAAGATTGGTAATAATATGCTATTACTGCTAATTTTGATAGCCTCTTCTTTGTTTTCATCCTTCTTCATTCTTATATTTTTTGATGGTATTGACCACACTTTGCTGCTCACTCTTGAGTATCCTACCCATCTTACTGTTACTTTTTCAGTCTTCTTTGTTGGTAATCTCCAACCTCTCCTTTTGGTGATCTCATCAGCTCCATGAGCTCTCTATGCTTCAATATCATCACCAGTTGTCTTTTGGACATTTTGATCTGTATATCCTTTCAATATCTCAATCAGGTCCCAGTGCATTACTTTGTTCTGCAGACTTTCTCTTGAAGACCCCGCCATCTATCCAGTCAATCAGTCTTACAACCTTGGGGTTACTACCTTCACTCCCATATACAGTTTCGGTCATTGACCACAACATCCCTCACATCTACCCTTCTTTCTCTATTCTAATGGCCACCTAGATCAGGCTTTTATTACTTCATTATAAGCTCTGTTTCCATTTTTTCCTTTGTCCAATCCGTCTTCCCTACAGGGACCAAAACCATCTTCAGAAAGCAAAAGATTGACTATATTACTCACTTGCCCAGGAATTCTCAGTGACTCCCTCTTGCCTGTAGGTAATATACTGATTTGTCAGTTTAGCATTTAATCCCCACATTCTGTCTCTAGCTGGTGTTTGCAGACTCATTTAACATCACTCTTTTCTATATTCTACATTCCATCAAACTGAACGAGTTGCTGTTCCACAAATTTGGCATTGAACATTTCTGTATCTTTGTATAGGTTATCCTCATTCCTTATAATGCACTCCCACCTCCCTTCTCCCTCTCAGAAACATTTGCTTTCTTCAAAGCACCACATGGTATTTTTGAGCTCTCTCAATGCTGTATCAATCCAGTGAAATGTAAGCTCCTTCGGGGCAGAGACTGTTACAGTGACTTGCTAGTAATATAAAGGTAAAATTTTTTGAAAAGCAAAAACTTGCAAGTAAAAATTTGTTTTAAATGTGAAATTTATAAATTTTATTACTCAGTGTTTCTTTTCCTTCTATCATTTATGCGTAACTATTTCTCTCTATTATACTACTTTTTAGATTCCAATGTTGTTTTCAACCTGCACTGAAATATGAATGTGATCACTACATTTAGGCACTGAATAAATACTTTTGGATACTGAGCTAGTTTTCTCAGAGAATCAAGGCATTTTTACTTTTTAATATCGTCCAGTATCTGAGCCTAACTTCAATGCTACATGAAAGTAAAAACAAATCACCAATGAGCCTAGAGCACAATTGTTTTATTGTATAGATTGACTGGAAAGGCAGCTTTGGCATAATAATGGCATAGCCATAATAATAAAGCTGTCTCAAGTCCAGAAGACCTGGTTTTAAATCCTGATTCTGATACACACTGACTCTTTGACCTTATATTAGTAACTTAACCCTCAGTACTACAAGCATCTCTTTAAGACACAGTATTTGCCAATTTGCATTGATACAAGGAGTTTTCTCAGTGCATGTTCCCTATACCTTTGAAATCATAAGTTGGCCCTTTCCTGCTTCTCCTCCCCCCCTTCCCCCTTCCCCGCCTTGTAGAGTAACACAGGAAACCAATAAATAGCCTTCTTTCAACTGAGTTTTTCTGCCCTTTAACTCCATTAACCATTTTGCATTGTGAATAGGAGATCCTTTACTACACTGCCTGCTGCCAAAATTAATTTTCCTGGATCATTTATCCTTTATCATAATGGGCTCAAGAGACAGTTAATTTATAAATACACATATGCATATACAGTTGAGAACTTAATGTGTTGGTTTCTCTGACACTTAAATTGTACTTCTTCTTTGAAACTAAGTGATATTATTTTATATGAATATAATTAGGGTTTCATCAGGAATTAAAGTTGCAAGGACAAATCGTAGGCATGATTCAGCTACAATATTTTGCCAACAGAATTTCTCAGAACATTATCAGGGAGATATGATTATAAAAGATGGTTAAAAAGCAATGGATAACCTATTGATAGCTTGTGTGCTTCATTGATATCTACACAATAGTAAGAAACAGCATGAAAAAGCATCCTAAAATGTTTGGTGAAGCTCTTAATAGTAGGACATGGACAAGAAATAGCATCAGAAGGCATGGATGAGTTTTGTTGTGTGTGTGTGTGTGTGTGTGAGTGATGTATTGGCAGGAATTAATGAAGTCATAAATGCAATGAAGTATCAAATAAAAGAAGCACTTTCCATTTTCTCTGTCATGTCTTTACAAAAGTTGCTATTAAGTGGTAGTTTTGAAAATTTTTTCACTGCCTTGTTCTTTGATGGGTCTAATAGTGGTAGAGATTGGACCTGTGATTTTGTTGATATAGTTTTCCCTGATGAGGAAACTCTCCACAAATGCAGGTTGATACCTTCTATATAACTGGAAATTGTAGAGAGTTGCCTAGGTCATTGAAAGATTAAGCAACTTGACATAGCCTTTATTTGTCAAAGGAGGTACTTAAACCCAGATAACTGGCTTTGAGACAAGCTTCTCTTCCACCATGCTGCATTGCCTTTTGGAGGCTATAAACAAGCAATGAAACAGATTTCCTCTCCCTTCCTTCCAATACTTCTAAGGGCAATAGGAGGGAGAAGACAAAGGACTGAATAATTCCCAAAGAGGAAAAATTAGTCCTTCAAGAATCAGAAGTGTAGCCAAAGGTTTGAGAATCCTAGAGCTAAAAAAAAGGAGCCCTCATTTTGTAAATGTGAAAGGCAGAGACAGGTAGTGAAGTGACTTGGCCAAGGTCATCTACTAACTTGTAGTCTAGTGTTCTTTTCCCAATGCCAATAGTAAAAGAATACAAAAATTATTAAATAATTTTGTGATTTTCACTGTAATTAGCAGGAATATGAAGTTGCTGGTTAGTGGGTGAGTGGCTTTCACCTTGGGATTTCCTGTCATTTGATGAATTGTGTAATTCATTTGTTCTTTTTCTCTTTTTAGAGCAACGATGGAGAAGAGCGTTTAGCTGTGGTTCGATTGCTAGCTAAATTGTTTGGTTCTAAAGATTCTGATTTGGCAACACAGAATCGGCCTCTTTGGCAGTGTTTTCTTGGAAGGTAAGAGAAGATATATCATGAATTCTGAATTTCTACCTAATTAACCCTCAAATAGTGTTATCTTTGTCAAGCATCAGTAGTCAGCAATATTTGGAGATGTTCACAATCCCTCATTTAGGTTTTGAATCAATTCTTGTAACCGAATCTATAATGGTCATAGTTTAAAATAATTTGTCTAAGAGACATCACTATAGCAATTTCTTCATGTATCAGTGGCTGTGTCTGGGAACACTGGTTTGGATCTAATGGTATGACTGAATATGCCCTGTGGACAGTGAATCAATTGCTGAACTTGGAGTCAGGAATACCTGCTTTCCCATCCTTCCTCTGACCCTTAGTTTATCATGGGCCTCAGTTCCCTGATCTGTGGAAATGAAGAATTTGGACTAGGTGGCGTCTCATTACCTGTCCAGCTCCAGTTCTGTGAGCCGGTCGTTCCGTGGTCCTGTGACTGGACTTTTTCAGCATGATCAGACTTGTACATTGTACAATGATCATTGTTTTTCTAACCATACTTAGTTTGCAATACACAATTTTTTGAAGGACTTTGAATGACAAGTCTCTATCATCTTAATAAGGTTCTTTCCCACTTTGTGTTTTCATAAAGCTAGAAAAAGTAAGTTATTGAATGATGTCTTATATTCTATTTAAATGCTTCCTTGGCTTCAAAACTTCAAGGAAAAGTAAAAACTTTTTGTTATTTGTATTTTAATCTTGAATAGTTACAGTTACACCTTACTATGTGTCAGCTATATCTTATGTTAGGTTAAACTGATAGGTTTCTCAAGAATAACTTCTCCATCACTAAGATTAACCCCAGTTACTTATACCCAAGGAAAGATACCCCAGTCATCAACCATGTCTTTTGTAAATCCTGAATAAGGTATCATATCACAGTTTTCCTTACCTGCCATGGTCTGTCTGCAGTTGAATGAAAGCAAAGATGTACCTCTGCCATTTCTGTTTCCATTATTTTAATTTCAGTGTATTTAGATCAGTTTTACCACATTTCATGTGACATTGCTTAGTCACATAAATATGGATTTATTATGTTGGACTATAAGGGATTCCTACTTTATTATTTTTATTAAATTGATGTTTGTCGGTTCATTAGGTCTCTTAATAAATTAAAATAGTGACAATTTCCTTGCTGCCGGAAATAATGATTATATATCTGTGGCCAAGTAAATCTCTAACACAATTTTTTTTTCCTCAAAAAAAAAAAGTACTTGCAGATGAAAATGTCAGTGATTACAAGCATTATAATTCATAAGTTTTAATTTGTGATTTTTTAAAAACTTAGCATAGTCCCTGATATAAAGAAACAGAAAATGTTTGGTAATGATTTAAAAATAGAAGGAGTAGAATTAAATTTAGTCAATTATTCCTTCCACAAATGTTTATTAAGTACTTACTATGCTAAGCACTGAGGATACAAAGGAAGGCAAAACCCATCCCTTAAACTCAGGGAGCTCACATTCTAATAAGAAAGACAACATGCAAACAATTATGTATGAACAAAATATATATATATAGGATAAAATGGAGCTGCTCTTAGAAAAAAGGCATTAGTAATAAGGGAGACCAGGAAGGATAAATTTCTTGAAGGATATGGAATTTTTGCTGAGATTTTAGGGAATCCAGGAGGCAGAGACAAGGAGGGAGAGCATTCTAAGCCAGGTGGACAGCCAGTGAAAATACAGTGACTTGGGAGAAGGAGTGTCTTGCGTAAGGAACAACAAGGAGGATAGTGTCACTGGAAGGTAGAATACATAGAGGGAAATAAAATGTCACAAGATTGGAAAAGGAGGAACTGTCTAGGTTATCATGGGCTTTAAAACCCCAATAGAGGATTTTAATTTAATCCTAGAAGTATTAGGAAGCTATTTAATCCTTGAGTGGCATGGTCAAGATAGTCCTATATTTTAGAAAAAGATCACTTTGATAGCAATTGAAGAATTAACTGACTGTGGGAAGAGACTTGAAGGCAGGAAGTTCAAACAGAAGTCTTTTGCAATATAGTTCAAGGGTGAGATCAATATGTATTTTTGTATTTATTTCTTTTTTAATATATATTAAGCACATCCAATGAACTTAGACATTTGAAAAAGTTAAATACAAATTGGTCTTACTATTTGGGACTAACATTCTAAAACAGGATGAACCATTTTGCCCAAAGTACATAAACCAATTAAAATCTGTTTCTATATCTCTCTGGACCTATATTTATCTCTGTATCAATGTGTGTGGGGCGTTTATCTTAATTTATTCTCCTTTTTGTTTATTTAGATTTATTTTACAAACTTTTATTATTTCTTTCCCACTGTTCCCCTAGTAGAACTTTTTAAAAAAATCTTCACCATAAATATATATAGTTTAGTAATACAAATCCCTTCATTAGCCATGTCCAGTTATGCATGTTTCATTATAGATTTTAAGTCTTACCACCTCATTGGCAAGAGTTGAGTGGAATGATTCAACTTCAGTCCTCTGTGTGTCCTAAACTTGGTTTGTCATTGTATTTATCAATTTTTAGTTTTTAAAGAGGCTTTCATGAAGCATGATATTGAGAAAAACACAAAATATCATTTTAAACTTTATCCAGTGTTACTTCAAGAAATTCCAAAACTTTAGCAAAGGTAATCTAGTATTATTTATTATTTTTATAAAGGATTCTTAAGTCAAATCTTTTAAAAGACTGTTAAGGAGTGAAGTAAGCAGAACCAGCGGATTAATTACCCCAAAATTAATACAGTAATGTAAATGAAAAAGAAAAACACCGAAAGGTAGCTTAACTCTGATTTACTTATTGAACAGTACACAAAATACAGATGATAAAATAAGCGTCTTTCCTTATGGTGGAGATGTAAGGGTCCATCCACCAGCATCAAATGTTACTATGTGATCACTGTGTTAGTTGCGTTTGTTGACTTTTTCTTGTTTAAAAAGGTGGAGTCAGTCAAGAAGTATAAAATTGTTGTAGTATATAAGCAAAATGCACTGATAAAACTTTTTTTAAAAAATGATTTATTGTTGTATAACTGTTGACTTTTTCATAAGCAAATGCTTTTTATTCAAATACTTAAATGTTCATTCTGAAGTTTATAGTGAAACTTGTCATCAGCAAGCTCTGTAGTCATTAATTGATTTATGAAACATTTTGCATATTTTTATCTTTTGTGGAAAGAAAACCTACTTACACAGAATTAATGTTTAACAATTTCCTCCTTGTAGATTTAATGACATTCATGTTCCAGTGAGGTTAGAAAGTGTGAAATTTGCCAGTCACTGTTTAATGAATCACCCAGACTTAGCAAAGGACCTTACAGGTAAGATAGGGAATTTAAAATGAGCAACATTGGGGTAAGTGTTCTTGTAAATTTAAGGAGTATATAAGGCTTTTCATTAATTTTTGGATGGATCTTAGCAATTTTCAGGTAGCTATTGAATGTTATACGTCTCTGACTTTATACAAATAAAATTCTAATGGATATTTTTGTTTAAATGATTTGAATATAATTCTAATAATTTTATGTTTTAGGAGGTGTGTGTTGAGTTTTGGTACAGATTTTCCTTTTTCCTTTTCCATTGGCTTATCCAGGCCAATGGATTTAGTTTGGTACTGTGGTGATTGGACACTGTGGCATTGGAGCTCACAACACTTTTTATCCCTTACCTCATATGAATTTTGTTTATCCATAGCTAGAGGCTATTTGCCAAAAGCTTTTAATTTACCTCTAATCAAATTAAACACAAGACAATTTTTATCTAATTTAATTTTATGTACATTAGAGAGGGTTTTCTTTTTTTAAGTACCTCAGAAAAGAATTATAAATTTTTTAATTGAGTAATAAAGATATTGAAATATTTTAATATCACTATTTATAGTAAGGTTATGGGTTATTCAAAAAGATTATATCTTTAATCCATAGCTTCATTTCCAGGTAAGAGAAATTCTGTGTTTATTAATGAAATTCTGTGTTGTGATATTTATCATTGAAAAGAAAGGCCCCTTTTGAAATTATTTTCATTATTTTGTTATTGATAATGTGTGTATTTTACAATCACAATATTGTTTAGTTTTATACTTAAGTACTTAACATACTAAATTGAGTATTTACCCCAAAAAATGTATTTTCACTTGTATATTTTCTGAAAACATCTCAATAATAGAAATAAAGCTTAATACTCTGGCCTTTTAGTATTTATTTAATAATTTAAGCGTAATCTTTTTTTTTTTAAATACCTATCTACTTTCTTGATTAACATTTTTTTCCTTCTCTTGTAATAGAATACTTGAAAGTTAGGTCTCATGATCCAGAAGAAGCTATTCGTCATGACGTCATTGTTACTATAATAACAGCTGGCAAAAGAGACCTTTCTTTAGTCAATGATCAGTTACTTGGCTTTGTGAGAGAAAGAACATTGGACAAACGGGTACAGCTTTTAGAAATTTTAATCTTTGTATTTTATCATTTGTATCGATCTTAAACAGAATATCAAATAGAAAAAAATTCATGTTTTTAAGAATTATTTAATATATTTTATATTTAAGTTGAATTTTAAGATGTTTCTAAGAATATAATGAATACAGAATTTTCTCTGGAGCTACTCTTGATTATTTTTAGATAATGGATTGAGGCATTTTGAAGATTTCATTTGGTTTCCTCTCTTTAATCAACCTTTATTAATACTAACAACCAGTAGCTACATCAGTGAATTATACTTTTGCTTTACCTATCTACCTTTTGGTGAAATATAGAATAATAATGAACACTCTGGATTTCCTTTTTATGAAGAAAGTTTTTAGAAATGTTCTATCCAATTGCTAAGTTCTTGATTCAGTGAAGGAAAGAACATTATACTTTCTAAAATCACATGAAGCAGCTTATATTTGTATATTACTAAGCTAAATTGAGAAATAATAGGCTAAGATACTTTTTCTAATGTCAAGCAAGTAGTTGCTCTACCTTAGGCACACTGAGTTGGAGGTATGGGTATATAATACAGGAAACTGTAGTGACAGCACCTAGAAATAATGTAGATAGCTAAGAAAATCACATGGAAGGCAAAATAGCTAGTATGTCCCTGGCATACGTATCAGAAGTTTTAAACTAAGGAATTGCAATTAATGATTTTAGTGTGCCTTGATAAGTCCTCATGGGCCAAAATGATATAATTACAATTTAAGAGTAAAAAAGCCAATTTTTTAATCTCAAGATTACAACTATTTGGGTTATGATAACTTTTAAATGCATACATGGTGGGCCAATATGTAAAATTGATACTATTTAACTTGTTCAGTTAAATTTTTAATTTGTCTAGACATTTAGTAGCTTTGTGATCCTGAGCAAGTCACTTAACTTTGTTCACCTCTGCTATTTATCTATAAATGAGCTGGAAAAGAAAATGGCTAATCACTCAAGTATCTTTGCCAAGAAAAGCCCAAAGTGGGTCATGGAGAGTCAGACATGACTTGAACAACAACAAAAAACTTGTTCAATTGCATGTAGCATTATACTTCATAACGTGACACTCCACCTAGTGGTTAGCTTGGACTGATTTATTCAGTGGATTTTTCTAAAAAATAAAAACTACTTCTATGACTTAGGATAATGCAGTTGTTTGTAAAGTTTCTCCCTAGTTGGAAAATATTTTAGCTCTGTTTCTTTTAATTTTAAAGATATTTTCTTAAATAAGTATAGATTAGCAGTTAAGACAAGAGTTCTATTCTTGACTCTGCCACTAACCAGCTTGATGTCATAGTGTATTCTGTATTTATTACTGATCTCAATTCCTTCATCTATAGAGAAGTAGCATGGTATAGTGCATAGAGGACTGGACTCAGGAAAGCCCTGGCTTCAGATCCTTCCTCTGACCCTTAGTAGTTTTATGACCTTAAGCAAGTTATTAGACCTCTTTTGAGCCTCAGTTTCTTAATTTGTAAAATGGAAATAATAGTACTACCTATCTCAAAAGGTTCCTATCAAGATCAAATGAGATAATGTGTAAAATGACTTGGAAACTTTAAAACACTATAAATGTCATCTGTTTGTATTAATGTAAGCTGAACTACATGAACAGCAAGCATTTATTAAATACTTATTGCATGCAAGGCAATAAAGTGCTGGAGACTGAAAGACAAAAGTGAAATTGTTCTTGCCCCTAAAGTGATTTTCTCCTATTTGAGGACACATGCACATACATAAATAGGCAATGTAAACTAGGTAATTTCATTTTATTTATTTAATTTTATTTTTAATTAAAGCAAGTATACTTTTGGTGGCGAGAAGGGAAAGGAAGGAAGGAAGGAAGGAAAAATCAATAGAAACTGTACCTGAGAGTTCAGGCTCAAAAACCACTTCCAAGCCAAGCCTTGCTAGGTGCTTGGAAATCCCCTCCCAACCACAGAGCAAGAAAGGGATTAGGGAGAGGGGGTGTCTCATGTACTTTGCAGTCTTGGCTGGAGAAGAATTTGGGATTTGGCAGTTATTTCTAGTCAGGGAAGGCACAAACCTGACAGAAAAAAACTGCAGGGTCCAGATATGACAAGATAAAACATCGTTAGCTGTGTTTGGAATTCTACCCAAGCCTTCTTTCAGCCAAAGACGAGGTTTATTAAACCATATTGGCCATATTGGCCAGACTCTTAAGGAATCTGAGCACCTGTGAGCAGTGGCTAGACTATAAGAATCCAAGCTAAATTAGGTAATTTGAAGGACGTTTTTTGGGGGGATCACTAGCACCTAATAGGATCAGGAAAGACTTTATATAGGAGATGAAGCATTAATTACTTCCATCTCTTATTCTAGTATACTTGGTAGTAAATTTTGATTATTTTATGACCAAAATGTCTTGCCATAAAAAATTTTTAAAGATTTCCAAAAGAATGTAGGAACGGATTAATGCACTTCAAATGATGGCCCTTTCTTTTATAGAGTAAATTAAATATTTGATCAGAACCCCAGTTGATTTGTCACGATTTTGTTTTACTTTAGCAAATTTTTTATTGAGTTCTTGCTATATGTAATTGATACAGAACTGAAAATGAGAAGCTGACCCCTTCCTCAAAAAGCTTACAGTTCTATAGGAGTATGACATGCTTAATTCAGCATAATGTAATCAATCTCAAAGGTGTCCCTTTAAAGCGACACAGCAAATTTGAAACAATATTGTTTTCTTTTTTCTATAGAATTGATTGAAATACTCTGGAAAATTCTCTATAATTTGATATCACTAAGGTAGATAATAAAATAATATAATAATATTTATCCCGGTGTGGACGTTTGTTTCATTGGTCACCATTAGCATGACATGACATGAAACTACACAGGTTTCTAAATTGTTTGTTGGTGTTTTTTTCCCCCAAAATTATTAAAGAACAGTTGATCATAAAGTAATTAGTTATGTCATGATTTAGATACTGATCATCAGGTAGAAGGCTCACCTTGTAGAATATATGTACATCGATGATTAGTTGAGTTTAGTATACTGTAGCCAGCCTTTAGTGTAACACTGTTGCGTGACCCTAAAATAAGTTGTGAGTTTCCACTGGGGTTCTGTGCCTTTCTCAAAAAACCAGTGGGGAAATATACTCTTCTTTGGGCTGCTGGAAGTTTGAGTTCCTGGGAATGGTTCCTTTACATAGTATCTGTTGTTAAGGCCACCTTCAACTTAGTATTTGCCCCTCTTGTCAGTATGCTTTGGAATATTTAATTAAAACTTACCTAGGAAAATATTTTTTTCAGTGGAGAGTTCGAAAAGAAGCTATGATGGGCCTTGCCCAACTTTATAAAAAATACTGTCTTCATGCGGAAGCTGGAAGGGAAGCTGCTGAGAAAGTGAGCTGGATAAAGGATAAACTTTTGCACATATATTATCAAAACAGCATTGATGACAAGTGAGTCTACTATTCTCCCATAATAATGGTATATAAAAGTATTTTCATCATTAAAATGCTAAGCCAGTGCAAATTGTTATTAAACAATAATAATGGCTAATTTTTTCAAATTTAGAATTTGTTTAGTCATGATAATAAAAAAAAAACATGTACCTTCACTTAAATACTTTGAGTTTAGATAAAAGAATATTACTTTTTTTTTATAATTTTCCCACAAACTAGTAAGGCAGTTTTCATTTTCCAAATGTTATTCTGTCTTCCTCTGTGGAAGACTGATTCTTTCTCTCTTTTTCCCCCTCCACTTTCCCCTTCCCTCTCTCTCTCTCTCTCCCTCTTTCTCCCTTTCCTCCTCCCACTACCTTTTCTCTCCGTCTCCTGGCTTGCCCATGGAAGCTTTGACCTGTTTCTTTTCTAACCTGGGCCAGTTTGCCCTTCCAGGCTTAACCAGCCTGGTAGACTTCTGCTCCTGGGAGCAGACCATGTGAGTGCCAGAGTTTAGTGCAGATACTTGATCAGCTTTAGCCCTACTGTAGCTCAAATGATCCACCAGCCTCAGTCTCCCTAGTAGCAGAGAATACAAGGCATGCACCAACCACCCCTGGTAAAACTATTGTTTTAATAATTAAATTAGCTAGTTAGGTTAATTCAGAAATTTCTCTTTTTTGTTATTCTGTTATAGAAATCTCATTTGGGATAGAGTGTTTGATCTGCACTGAAATATTTGTGATTTCTACTGTCATTAACTTGGATATAGAATAAACTAAGATGGCTAAAGTAGTATTGGTATAGCATTAAAGACAAGCTCATTGTGTTATGGAGAATTACAGAGATAGAGTGCCTACCAGATCAAATATAAATTCATGGAGCAATGCTAAGTGGAATATCCTCATTGAGACTGTACAATCATTTAGGAAAGAACTGAAATGAAATCAAATTGATTTATCTTACTCATCTGAGAAGTAAAATGAGTATAAAAACTCAAGGTATAGCTTCAAAGAATGTGGCATGACTGATCTCCTGAGGGAAAAAAAATCACAAATAGCATCTGGTTCTTCAAGATGCTAGTACAACTGTAAATCAATTAATATGGTCATGTTGATGAAAAAATTAGTCATTTCCGTGGATATAGAAGTCACTAGCAGACATGTTAGCTCTATGTGAAAAAGTTCCTTAAAAACCCAGTGACTCTTTATGAAAGTTCAGAATTGTTATTTAATTTCATTTCTTCCTTTCACAGATTGTTGGTAGAGAAAATCTTTGCTCAGTACCTTGTCCCTCACAATCTTGAAACAGAAGAAAGAATGAAATGTTTATATTATTTGTATGCCAGCTTGGATCCAAATGCTGTAAAGTAAGTTAATAATAAAATAGAGTATGTTTGAAACATTTTGTGAAATTATTTAAATTATTTCATCTTTCTTTTGAATAAACATTTGCTTTTTATAGCTCATCCAGTGAAATCAGTTAAATATTTGCTGCTTTTGCAAAGTTTGACACGTCAGTTTATAACAAGTGATAACCCGTGATTATAAACAGAGTAAGCCTATACAATGTAATTTTGGGGGAAGGCACCATGCTCCAAATAGACATGTTATATGATTTTCACTGGTTCAAGCCTAAAATTTTACTCTTGGAAATTTTTCTCTTTATTGTAAGACTTTAATCACCATTAAAATACATATACTCACAGGAGACTTAAACATTGCCTTTATCTTTTACTCATGGATGAATTACATAAAATCAGATTTGCAGTGGGACCTAGTATATGATACAGTAGTACTAACATCTGAGTGTTTCAGTAAAGGGGAGAAAATAGCTCAGAACAAGGAGGCTAAGAACACTGAAAACAAACTTTCACTAATTCACAACTTTATTTAGATGTTGTCCTATTTATAATACTCATTTCTTAAGAGAATAATTTACCAAATTCTTATTTTGATTAACCTTCATTTGAAAGAATTCTTTAAATAGAGTGAATATAATCAAATTTGATGTTGCTTCAGGTTTTTGAAAGATTAAAAGAAGTAGATACATTTATGAGATAGACATACCTATCGGAGAAGGATGCTAAAGTTTGATAACTTTGTTTTGGTGCTTTTCCCAATTTAAAACTGTGTTTACAGGGCACTCAATGAAATGTGGAAGTGCCAGAATCTACTCAGGAGTCACGTGCGGGAGTTACTGGATTTGCACAAACAGCCGACTGTGAGTTCATTTGGCGAAAGGGGTAGGAGGTGGGGAGGGGCATGGCAAGCACACCTTTACTAGTGAAAAGTCTTTCAGTTATTGTATCTCCATACATTCATAGAAAGAAGAAGACACCTCTCAGAACTTTGTTTTCCTGAAGTGAAGATCATGGGGCCATAGAATCAGAGCTGGGAGTGGTATTATAGAAAGATACCATAGACCACTGGTGGCAAAGTCGAGATTGGAACCCATGTCCTTTGACTCCAAACCTAGCGTTGTTTCCACTGTACTATGCTGTCTCATATTTCAAGCATTATGGTTTCTATAATAGATATTTTTTAAATAAATACAAACACTTTTAGAGAAATGCTGTATTCTGTCTAATCAGTTATTTAAATTAGCAGAGCTAAAGGTATAACATTCCTGAATTTCCTCTTTTCAAATATTAAAATACACTCTACATGAAAATAAAGTAGAAAATAACTGAACTTACCTTTGGAATCAGTCAGTCAGCAAGTATTAAGTGCCTGTTATATGCAAGCTGCTAGGGAATCTAAGATACAAAGAATGAAGAAAATTCTTATCCTCAAGCAGATTACATTGTAATTAAAGAGACAAGTAAATAAGTACATAAAGAATAAATATAGAGACTACATACATATAAATACAAAGTATTTGAATGCATGATAAGTACCTGCTGTTAACATATCAGGAAGGGCCTCTTGTATAAGGTGGTAGGCGAATTGTATCTTGTAGAAAAGAGGGATTCTATGGAGTGAAAGTGGGAGATGTTATACTTTTTCTGCCAGTACAAAGGTATACAAAGAGGAGGTGGAGTGTTATGTATGCAGACAAAGACAAGGCCAGTTGGTTTGAGTTGTGCAGTGTAGGAGGAGGAATAATATATAATATGTTTCATATATTTAACCTTTCTTGGGCCCTAGTTTAGTCTACTTTGTTGCACCATTTGAGATGTGCTATAGTGCTCTTTCTAAAGAGCAGATGATGTTTTTTTTCCATTAAGAAAATACTCTAAAAGCATCTGATTCCAATTGCAACATTGTAAATGCTTTAAAAGCAATATATGTTTTTCTTTACATTAACAAAATACATAACATTTTAGGGGGAGGATAGAAATTATAAGTAGAACGTTAATAAGACTGCTTTCTCCTTTCCAGTGAGTTGCATATTTTCTGTAGCACATAGTTGAGCAATAAGCTTTGCTAATTATTTTATGGTTTAAATATTGTTTCTTTCTAAGTTGTCATTTATTTGAAAGTTAATTAACTGCTTAGTCTCTGTTTCTTTATTTTCTGTTCTTCCAACATTCCAAAGTGTCCTGAGTTAACTATCATAATCCATTCTCATTATTTCTCCACTGGAATTGTGTTTTTGTTGCTGTTTAGTCATTAGCTCTGTCTGACTACACTGTCCATGGGGTTTTCTTGGCAAGGATATTGGATTAGTTTGCCATTTCCTTCTCCAGTGGATTGAGGCAGACAGAACTGAAGTGATTTTCCCAGGGTTACACAGTTAGTAAATGTCTGAGGCCAGATTTGAACTCAGGTTTTCCTGACTCCAGGCCCAGTGCTCTGTCCACTGAGCCATCTAGCTGTCCCAAATTGGTTTTAGGAACATTTAATTAGAACATATCACAAAAAGGTGACTGTTATATTCTTTTCCATTTCATCACTTTGAATTTTCTCTTAAAAAGTAGATGATTAGAGTCTATACACTGATATTAATGTTTTGTCCCGGGGTAGTTGGGGTAAAATTCACTTTCATTTTCTCAGGAGTTAACAAAATAGAGTGTTTTATTTTTCTCATTAAAATCTATTGGATATATATAGCTGATTCTTTGTTTTATTTCAGTCAGAAGCTAACAGTTCTGCCATGTTTGGAAAGCTGATGACCATAGCAAGTAAGTGTTTCTATTTACTTGGTAGATCACTATTAATATTAGTAATATAGTGAGACTAATGGAAAATGAAACATTTAATACATTTTAAAGTGTAATTAGGCATATAACACCTATTTCTTGGAGATGATTGTCAATCTAAGGAAAAGAAGCAAAAGCATAATGCTTTTTTTCAATAATTTTATTACCAATACAATTCTAGGGATATGGGAATATTTTTTAAATTGGTGCTTATTTGCAAACCTGAATTAATGACTAATTCAGTATTTGAATTTCATTTGATTTTATAGAGAATTTGCCTGACCCTGGAAAAGCACAAGATTTTGTGAAAAAGTTCAATCAGGTCCTTGGCGATGATGAAAAACTTCGGTCTCAGTTAGAACTACTAATCAGCCCTACATGTTCATGTAAACAGGCAGATGTCTGTGTGGTTAGTCAATATTGTTTTTACCTTTAACTTTACCTAGAACAATTCATAAAAGTTTATTTCTTAGGAATGCTTGTATGCAGTATTTTCTTGCAGTGATCACATAAATATCTAACTCTAATTATCTGAGTTATTACATTTCATAAGCTGGGGCCTTTGTCATCACTGGTGTTCAAACAGATTCTAGGCTTCTGAGTTCTAGAGGTGGATTTGAACATGGAATGGGCTATTTTGCTACTCACATAAAATACATAGATAAGGGAATATTGCTGTGGTTTCATTTGTATAAGGAACTTTTATAGGAGGAAATTTCCTCTGACAATTCAGATTGGATACCAGAGTGGCATTAGATCTATACTTCATAAACATTACTTGGTAGCTGTGGGTAACATGTATGAGGAGTGAGAGACTTGTGGAGTTATTTCAGCACTTTTCCCAAGATTCTTTGAGAAAATAAGATGTTGAACTGTGGCCCTGGACTCTGTAGAGCTCTTAGTTTCTGTGTATCTGCAAGGATGATAACTAAAGAGAACTTTTTGTCGTTTTTGTCATTGTTGTTGTTGTTAAGCATTAAGGACCTTTTAAAGCATTTCAGTGGGAAAAGAATCAGAAGAAGAAATTTACTGTTGGATAAATTTATCATTTTGTTGTCCTGAATACCTTATATGCTCCCACTTATAATCAAGATCACACAAATACTTGGTCAGGGATGCTTTAAGTACTATTTTCCCTTAATTCTATATTAATCAAGGGACAAGACACATATGCAAATATACATTAGCACAGTAGGCATTCTTCATATCATACCATCATAGATTTAGATCAGGAAGAGAACTTTGAGGCTGTTCTAGGCTGATCTGCACTCAGGGAAGTGCCTTACTAATTTAGGTTATATACTGGACACTTATGAGTCATCAAACAGTTAACAGAAAAGAGATTTACTTAACTGTGACAGTAAAAGGATAGGCATCAGGGACACCTTGAGCTGATTCAGCATAACAAAGGTTGCCTGACTTACTCACTGCTATCCACCTGCCAAGCCTCCAGAGCCCCTGGAACTCCTTTGGGCTGCTTTGTACTTGGGTGATGAAAAAGCAGTGACAGCAATTTGAGCCTTCAGTCCCCTGAGCCAACCAAGTCTCAAATAATCTCTCAATACCTTTTAAAATAAAACCAGCCGAGCTTGCATGGGCAGAGGAGTTGGGCTGTTGCTCCTACTGTAGAAACCTTTGAGTCTAGCACAATCATTTTCCAGATGAGAAAACTTAAGCTGGCCCAGGGAAGTGAAGTCAAGTTACCTAGGGCCAAACAGATTTTAAGTGTATGAAGCTGGATTTGAATCCAGTTCTTACTGACTCCAAGTCCACTGTCATATCCACAAATGCATGCTGCCTTGAGGATAACCCAAAGGGCAATCAAGAGGTACATGGTGGGCATGAGCTAGGTGTTAACACAATGCATCGAAGGAATTGTGAAGGAGAAGTGGTTTAAATGATAGCATCAGAGAAATATATTATGAAAAATAAAAATATGCTGCTCATGTGTTCCACAAAAGCAAAGCATGACTATTGGACAGCTTATGTGTAACAGAGGTATCTTTATGATGATATCAAACGAATTCAAGAAACACACCTGACATTGGGTGACCACTCTTCACTATTAGGTAATAATATTTCCAATTTCCATAACCTTCTTTCCAACACTCCTATTTTGTATGTAGAATATTATTATAAACCCAGAAGGAATTGTAACTGAAGTTCAGGTATGTTTCCCTGATGCCACACATCTGGTTCACATCAGTGGGATTTGAACTCTGATGTCTCATTTAAAGTACAGCTGTCTTTCTACTACTGTAGCCAAGGAAAAGAAAGAAAGACACAAAATAATTAAGGAAGACTAGTACAAGGAGATCTAGGAAAAGAGAAAACATTCCCTTGGTCCCTTCTCATATCCCAACCTGTAGAAACTATGCAAATAGTTTTTATTTTTAGTAGTTTAAATTTTAAAGTTTAAACAGTTTAAATTTTTTTGTATCCTAATGGGAAAAAAGGGTAGTCCATCTTAATAAGCAAATTCCCCGTGTAAAGACTTGAGCTAAAGCTAAAGGAGTGTATTCAATTCCATTCTCCAACCTCATTTTATACAGGTTCCAAAAAATCACTTTGGTATATAGTACCTTTGAATCCCTTTAACCACCCTACCTCTGCCTAAAAAAAAAAGAGTTGAGAATCAATTCCAGGAAGGTATTTGTTTTATCAGAATGGAGATGATATAATATATGAGGGGACAGATCTTATATATTCAGTTTGTGGTATTTTGTATAAAGAAGTAAAATATGTTGCTTATGATGTTTGATGTTAGTGGTTGTCAAGTTCTTGTATTATAGAAAATGAAATAGATTGTATGTTCCTTGAGAAAAAAGACTGTATATGCATACATACACTTACCTTACAACAGCTAGTGTATAAATTCAATATGTAACTATCACATAAGAGTAGTAATAATAATATGAGGCTAGAGGTTAGGAGACATAGTTTCCAGTAAACCTTAAATTTGTGAAATTTAAATGTATGTTATTAGGGATACAGTAATTAATGCTTTTAAACTGCTTGATTTCCAAAGAATACTAGACATTTTTATTCCAAGTTGCATAATTTCTTTTGCCTAGTTTCAATGTAAAAATGGTTCTTATCTTTAATGTAACTTTTTCAAATACATTTTATGTACAAACCCATATATTCTTTAAAACAATACAAGAATTATATTGATTCCATAGTTACAAACAAAGCACATTTTTAAAATACTGGTATCTTTAGCACTCAGCCATGCATGGCCTGTTCTGACTTTAAAATCTTAGTTGTTTATTTTAGGTTGCTAAAAGTTTTAGAAAAAAGACCAATATGTAAATAACTTTTTCTACATTTATTCAACTGTAATGTCTATTCTTGTAAGGAAATTATTGGACTTTTAATTGTGATTATAGCAGGTAAACTTTTTTTAAGACCCCCTGCCAGAGTTACCTCCAGCCATGATGGACATGCATGTCAGAGTAGAAATTTAGTAAGGGACTTACTCTATATTGTGTATAATTGCTAAATTTGAATTATAGATATAAATGCTTTTGGTGTATAGGGTAAGTTCTTGTTTGATTTTACGTTTATGACATGACTGTTTCCTTTTAACAGAGAGAAATAGCCCGAAAACTAGCAAACCCCAAGCAGCCAACTAATCCTTTCCTTGAGATGGTCAAATTTCTTTTGGAAAGAATTGCGCCTGTGCACATTGACTCAGAAGCCATCAGGTAAACTAGGAGATGCATTGTTAGCCTATCAATATTCTGTTCTATAGAGTTGGTGACCAGCTGTGGATACACTGTAACCTTTTGCAAAAACTGAACAGAAAGGATCTGTTTCTCTTCTAAATTACAAATGTGGACATATCTTTAATACAGAGTAGTTCTCTTTTATATGGGCCGATCCAGAATTTGTGGACTGCTTGAGGAAGATATCTCCCTAGATGCAGTTCTGATTTTAGTCAAGGTTTATTTTTGACAGGGAAATTCTGATTTAACAAATTAGGCCATAGCTAAGTTAACATTTCTCCAAATGATTTTGAGCCATGTTATTTCATTTTCCTTTTAATTTTTAAGTCAGAGGCTCCCTGGTTAGGAGACAAACCATGAATTTTTTTTTCCCTTCAGTCAAAAAAATCAAAGCTTTTTTTTCTTTTAATCTGATTTCAGTTTTCATTATAACTTTGAAGTTTGGAAGAGACTTTATAGGCCATCTTGTATTCTCATGTGGAAATAATCATTGGAGCATGGCTTAAACACATGTTGTCTAATCTTTAATTTAGCCATCAGCATTCTGGATGGGTGAGAACAGAATATACACTAGACATCAGCTCATATCGCTCCAGTATTTTAGGGTTTACAGAACGCCTCTGTAAGGTTTTGAAGTTGCTGTACAGTTGTTGTCATGCGTCTTTTGCACATGAGGCTATGGAGACTCAAAAAACAAAATGACTTACCTCTGGTCTCAGAGCCATGACTCAAAACCAGGTCTTCAGATTCAGTAGTCAGGCGTCCTCATATTTGAAGGGATCCCAGCGTAAATAATGAGAACTTCTCTTTAAGCTTCCCATCCTCATTCCTGCTCATTTAGTCCACTACTTTGGAATGTCTGCTAACCCGTAGCTCCAAATTTCCTCCTTGCGATTACTGATCTTCAGTGACAATAAAGGTGAATTGGGTTACCTTTCCAATCTACTATCCAGTGAACTGATCCAAAGGACACTAACAAAACAAGCGATTCAGTCACTTGAAGCAAAAGGTTCTAGAATGCTACCCATGAGCACACTAGTCAGTTGTGGTAATGGGACCTCATGTGAGAATAAATAAAGTTTAAGGCTATCTCCAAGGCCATGTTGTAAGCTGAGGTATAAATCATACCACCTTCTTTTTAATCTACTCATAGCAACTAATCCTAACATTCTTTAAAAAGAGAGTCGGTCTAAAAATTCAGCAAATATGATTTTAAAAAAACCAGTTTGCTTAGTTTAAATAAATAGCAAAACCAATTAAGTAAGCAAAGAGAAAACGATATCTTCATTAAATAGGAACTATCAAGAAACAACTGATAAGATTGAAAAATTCTTCATTTTAAAAGGTGTCTGCCTTGACTATCCCATCAGCAAGAGGAAATCCCCCTATGAAAACTCCCAACACCAATACATATCAGTAACTTGTATTAGACTTCAATTTTGAAGGCTTACCTAGAACAATACACATTTATTTCACTTTCTCATGGTAATGCAACCTTTATGCATCAGAGAAGCACTTGAATCAAAGTCTTCCTGACTAAAAACCTGGCCCTCTATTCTGTCTCTCTTATTTAGTATATATAGTAGCCTCTCTCTCATCAAAGAATTCACTAGGTTTCATGCGTATAGGTAAAATGTTAAAGCCTCTTGCTGAATTTTAATCGAAAGTAGTTCATTAATCCTTGAATAGTAGATCAATTTTGTAAGAAACTGTTCAGTTAAAAATTATCTGAAAATTTTTTCCAAGGTAAATTGGAATATAATTCCTTGTGGTATGCATTCAGGAAAGTGAGTTAACCAATCTGTCAGGAGGAAAGGCTTGTTATTAGGGATTAATAACAAGTTATACATGTAACTAAGAAAAATTTGTTCACTGTGTCTCATTTTTATAAAGGTTAACTTGCCTTTCATCAGTTAAATAGTGATAAGAAATGTAGACTTGAGAGCATTTTACTATAGAACTGAAGAAAGCAAGTTTACAAAGCTAAGGAAATGAAAGAAAATTAATCACTATAATTTAAATACCTAAATTATTATAAAATATAATTTCCTCTAATTTTTAATTTAGTTAGAAATTTAGTTTTAAGAGTCTGTTGAGTATTTGTGCAGAATATTTTGTAAAATTTACAGCCAATTTAAATGAAACAGATTTATTTTTGCCTTTAAAATTCGCTCTTATAAATTTTTTTTAATCTGCCTAAAATTTTGGATTGTTAAGTGCTTTATCTTTAATGTTTTGGGGGTACTTGCAACTAATCTAGACTTTCTTGTTTAATAGTGCACTAGTGAAGCTGATGAACAAGTCAATAGAGGGAACTGCTGATGATGAAGAGGAGGGTGTGAGTCCAGATACAGCCATTCGTGCAGGACTTGAACTACTTAAGGTATTTTTATTGTGAATTTTGCTCCCATCCATTGGTAACAGTCATAGTGGAATCAAATTCATTGTTTCATGTTGAGGAGGTGCTATAAACAAGTAATATTGGCAGGCATTTATATAGTGTTTATTCCAAGTAATAAAAGTTCTACTTGTTGCCATGGGTGATTTAAAGCGAATTTAAAGACTGATTTTTGCTTGCCAAGAAGTTAATTGGAAATATAAGAAGAGTTAATAATATATTTAATAGTTAAGAATAAACACATGGGAAATATAAATACAAGTAATAATATTTCATTAGTCAGTAAATACTAAACAAAATCAAAGAACTGACAGATCATGGTAAGCTAAAATGACCAGCAAGTCTTAATGGAGAAAGTATGACTAATCCAGTCTTAAAGAACGAATAAAAATTTGATCAACAGAGAAAAATTAACTGTAGCTACAGAAAGGTTAGATGTGGGAATGAACATTTCTTGTTCTGGAAAGTGAGGAGACTATGCTGTCAAGAGGAAAGGTTTGTTATTAGGGATTAATAGGATGGAAATGGGAAAGAAAGGCATTGTATAACTTCTGTAACATCTGCTGTACAGTGCTCAGGCATTTGGACTTAGAGCCTGACGGCACCAGATAGAATGCTTTTGAACAATTCTTAGTCAAGTATGATGGGTTTTATTAAGAGTAATTTGTCAGTGATGTGTAGGTTGACATAGAGTGCAGAGAAAATGGAGACAGAAAGCATAGTTAGGCAACTGTGGCAATAACCCCTGCATAAAATGCTGTAGACCTTCATTAAGGTAGTCACAGCAGTAAGGGGATTGTGAGAGACATGAGAAACATTTTAAAGGAAGAAATAGACAAAATTTGTAGACACAAGAAATAGGATCTAAAGGGAGAGTATGCAAATATAGCAAGATTATAAACCTAGGTACTTTGGAGTACCTAGTGACTTAAGATGTAGTAAGAGCTTTTCTCTCAATAACTCTTTGAGGCAGCTGCTAAGTTATTATCATTTCCATTTTATAAATGAGGAAACTGACAAACTTATGATATTATAACTCATAATGGTTTAAGGCAATGTTCAGACCGTGGTCTTCTGACTCCATATTCAGTACTCTTTACTATACCAAAAAACACTAAAGAAATAATGGAGGAAAAACAGTAAGAGCAAGTTAGGGAGTGGGGAAGGTAATGAGTTTGATTTTTGACAAATTGAGTTTTAAGTTATTGGATATCCAAGAGCAGTACAGCATAGTGGCTTTGTCTCACCTCTGTCACATACTGATTTTGTTATCCTGGGTGAGTGACTTTATTTCTCAATTTTTCATGTTGCTGCTTTCAGAGACTAAGTTGGAGAGATGGAAGAGTTTCTTTAACTGGGAGTTCCTTATACCCGTGAAATCATAGGTCCAGTTGCAGAAATGTCTATTTACTATTTGCAAATATTAGACTTGTACAAGTGATAGATGATTGCTGGAACTGTAGGTTTATAAATATATGAAACACAACTTTTCAACATTAACACTATATATTCCACATCTTCTTAAGTAACCAGTTACTTTACTGTCTGATTTTCTTTTTTTATTTGAAAAATAGATTTTATTGTTATCTTTGTTTTTATATAACCTATATTTCATAATAGAACCATCTACCCTCTCTCCAGAGAATCATGTATCAAAGAATAAAAAAGAAGAGGAAAAGTCATTTAGCAAAATTAATTATTATATCTAAAAAGTCTGACATATAAATTTTATGCAGTATTCCACTTCCATAGCACCCTCCAAAGAAACTGATTGAGGTGCCTTCACATATTTCTCTTTTTATGTGACACTGTGAATCTGTTCTTGCACAGCTTGGTTTTTAAAATATATATTAAATTTGAAATGGTAGTTCCAACACTGCCCTGCTTATCTCCTTCCTAACAATTTTTCTGCTGTCTTCTGTGTATTTTAAAATATTTCATTGACATTTCTATTTCATTGATAGTTCTAATCTTTCTTTTCTCTTTTATATTACTGTCACTCCCCTCTTCCCACTATCTCCTTAATTCTCACAACACCATAAAAAAGCCCTCTCATAACAAGTATGGTTAAGAAAAAAAAAATACACACATTAGTCATGTGTATAAATGTATGTCTCATTCTTCATCTCTCTGCCAGGTGATAGGAAGTGTGCCCCATCTTCCAGAATCATGACAGGTCATTGCATTGATCAGCATTCTTATTTCTTTCAAAGCAGTTTTCCTTTATATTATATAATCATAAAAATTGTTCTTTTTCTACTCATTTCACTCTGCATCAATCCATACAAGCCCTCCAAGATTTTTCTGATTCCATCCTTTTTCTAATTTCTTAAGACACAGAAATATTCCTTCGCATTCATATATTACAGTTTGTTCAGCCACTCTCCAGTTGGTGGACAATATCCTTTCTCTTCTTATGGGGTATGGCTGTGGGATTGTATGATGATTAAGATGTTGTTTATCTATAGAGATAACAATCCTTCAAATGGTTAAAGATGTTCATCATGTACTCCATAATCCATATTTCATTCCAAAGGAAGTATCCCTAGTTTTTTCAGCATATCTTTGTATGGTATGGTATCCAGCCCTATCACTATCCTGACTGTCTTCCTGGACCTAATAAGGCTTGTCATTGTCCTTCCCAAACTATAGCATCTACATACTAGATGAGGGCAAAGAACAGCAAGACCTCCCTTGTTCTGGATGTATTGCTACATTTAATAGTCAAGTAGTAAGTTACCTTTTTTTTTTTCCATAGCAACCTGTTGACCTATGGTGAACTTGCAGTTCACTAATCCTTCCTCCTCCGATATTTTTCATACAAACTGTTGTATTGTTATACCTCCTTTATCCTGTATTTTTTAAATAGCTTCTTAAGCAGACCTTTAAAACTCATTATTTTATTTGGTCTTACATTCTAACCTATTCTGAGTTTTGGGTTTTTTTTGTTTGTTTGGTTTTTTTGGACTTTGTTAGTAAACATTTTCAGAGGTAGTGATCATGTTACATATACCCTCCCAGATTTGTGACATCTCCAAAAGTGATAACGAGGCTATCTTTGACTTTACTTAAGTCATTGTCAGATAATGTAAAGTAACATAGGGGCCAGCATCAGTTCCTGGGGCCTTCCACTAAAACTGCTTCCAAATTGATATCAGATCATTAGTGACTGACTACTCGTTGGTTGGAGTCATTTAAACCAGTTTTGGTTTGTGGGGTGATTTTAGGAGGTGTGACAAGAGGTTGGCAAGTTGTGTAAGATTTGCCAAGAAATTGGCAAGTTGTGTATCATGGGTAAAAAAGAATACTCAGAATACTGGCTAAAAATATAAATGGAAGGTATAAAAGTAGATGGTTTCATAAGCACCAATTTTTTTGATGGTAAAGCAGTTTTTACCAGTGTTTTTCACATTTACCGAGGTCATGGTGGTATTTATTAAATATATTGAATATATACAGAAGATTTCTTTTTTTTTTTTTTTCGGGTTTTCTGATTAATTTTAATTTAGTTTTCTCTTTGATGCCTTTTAATCCTAAAGGGATCTAGAATTTCAGGCCTTTTTAACCCACTTCATTGTCATAATTTGATATGTTGTTGAAAGATAATTTTGAAATATTTGATTAGTCAGAATCTCAAATTATATTTTAATATTGTAAGAACAGATGTTTTATGAATAAATTTTAACCCCATAGGTTATTTCTAATTTCTTGTCCCATTTTTCTATATCAATCAATATTTATTAAATTCCTACTTTGTGCCAAATACTGTATTTGACCCTAAGCATCATAAACTTACTCATATAACCCTAAATCATTGCTTAGTGAAAAACTATCCAGTTGATTTTGCAATAAGTCCTCTCAAGTCAACTTTTTAGAAAATTTTTAAACTTTTTATTCATTTTTAAAAGTTGGCTTTTTTTTTTAAGAGTTTGGTTTTATTTCTGACTTGCAAATTTTAATTTTTATTAAACACCTACCAATGTGCAAGGCATCTTGAAAGCCACAGAAATAAATTAAGATATTCCTTGCCCTCTAGATGACTGTAGCCTTGCAGAAGAGATCATTTGTACCAAGACTGCTTTTTTAAAAATTTTATCTTTTCTACATTTGTAGGAACAAGAACTAGCTGTACAATTTAGTCAACAAAATCCATAAATTGTGATGTACATGCACATGAAGCCTATGAACTAACTTACATTATGCACCCTTGTGTATCAAGGAGATAGCTGAATATCTTTGAAGATATTAAATATACTTCATGGGGCAGCAGAAATGCTTAATTTTTGTTTCTGTGGAGAAGAGAAAAAAGTTATTTTTGAGGCTGCAGAAATATAACAGTAACAGTTTGCTGTAAGAAGTCCTAGAGAAGAATAGAAAAAACAGGTGTTTAGACTTCACCATGTTTCACCATCGTTCTGTTCTCTCACAATATCAGCCAATTCTAAAAAGGTTATCATAACTTGTAAAAATCAGGGCTCAAGTTTATAGGCCTTTTAGTCAGCTACTTGAAGTTTTTACGTCAATGACTGTAAAAGTTCCCACACTTACTTTTCTTTTCCAGATAGCTTGATAATTAGGCTTGTTCGGAAGGGATCACCTGTTCCCCTATCTTCTCTTCATTGCACATTGACTCTCAACAGGAATGACAAGTAATTAACTCGTCCCAGGGCTATTTGTGGTGAGATGGCGATTGGGAAACTGAAAAGCTTTTTACTCTTTATTAAGTGTCTGCTGATTCACAGTATACCAGATTAGCTGCTCAGAAAGATGTGAAATATATGGTCAGTCCCCTTTAGGAGTTTATAATTTGTTTGGGAAGATAATTGTATAATGCCTAGAGCATTATACAGAATGTGTTCAGGCAGAGTTGGATTATCTCTTGTGGTCTAAGATAACCAATATCTTCAGTGAGAAGATGTATACATATGCAACAGTAAAGTTGTGTAAAATAAATTTAGTTACAAGCTGGTTTTAGTATATGAAAGCTTATTAAAATAATATTAGAAAGGGAGGCTATTCATAATAGTATTAATATTCATAATTCTTATCTGTAGTCATTTTGAGATCTATCATTTTAGTAGTACCATTGTGACTTATTAAAGCATTATCATGAATATCAATATAATTAAACTAACTTTGGAATTATTTTAAATTATTTTTAGCATTTAAAATGTCAGAACTTTTCTGTCAATCCCTAAGTTTCCATCAGGATTCTTTGTTTGTTTAGTCTAGTATGGTTGAAATTCATGTGTATTCTACTTTATTCTTGTTCTGCTTTTTTCACTTTATATTTATTACTTCATAAAGGAATTTCCAGCTTTCTTTATATTCCTTGCACTCAGTAATCTTCATTACATTATAACTAACATTACAACAACATACCACAATTTTGGTTAACTATTCTCCCTTTGTTAGGACATTTAGATAATTTCTGAGGTCTTTTAAAAATTTATTTGTATTGGTGCTGTAATATCTTTGAACAGATCTCAGAAAGAATTTTCCCCAGAAAAACTACTTCTTTATCATTGACTCTCCAAGCTCTAAAACCTTGTTTGGTTCTGAAGGCCTCCCTGGAGCAGTTGCCGCTTCTACTTTTTTGTTTCATTAATACCTTCAGGCAACAAAGAAATTATTGGGTCAAAGATATTCAATAAGTTTTCAATTCAGCCAGCAGCAAACTGTTCCTATTTCAGGATTGAGGTTTATTGCTTTTATTCATTTTTGCCAGGTTGGGGAATGTGAAGTGGTAACTCAGAGTTATTTGACTTATCATCACTTTGATTATTTGTGAGGCTCAGAATCTTAAATTAACTATTTGTTTCAGCATTTGGAAATTATCTGTTCCTCTCTTTTGATGCTTTATTATATATTGGCTGAGAAATACTTTCATGGATTTTTTTAAACATTTTTTTTAGGTATTTTAGATGTCAAGTTTTTTTTTCTTCTGCTGATTTCTTGTGCAAAATTTAAAATTGTGCAAAAATTCAATTTTTTAATACAGTTAAGCAAATCTGTTCCATTTCTAATAATTCCTTCTGTTTGTTGAATGGGGAGAGATAGGGCAAGGATTGATTGGTAATATTCCACAGTTGAAATGCATCCATTATTCCATCTTGTATTTTTCATAGTTTTTTTCTTAATGCTTAATTGTATCATCCCACTGAAATTCACTGATTCAGCTAGTATAAGAATTAGTCCTAAATCTATTTCTTTTTTTTTTCTTTTTTTCTTTTTTCTTTTTTCTTTTTTTTGGGGGGGGGGGTGAGGCAATTGGGGTTAAGTGACTTGCCCAGAGTCACACAGAGTAAGTATCAAGTGTCTGAGGGGCAGATTTGAACTCAGGTCCTTCTGACTCCAAAGCCAGAGCTCTATCCACTGCTCCACCTAGCTACCCCTGTAAATCTATTTCTTATCCAAATGACAACCACTTTTCCAAATTCCTTTGTTAAATAACTAATCCTTTCCTAAATTTAATCATCTGCAGGTTTTTCAAACACTGCTCTTTTATATATAGCTGATTAGACATCCAGTGGCATTTTATCTTTTTTGAATTAAAATTAAAATATTTAAAAGTTTAATATCAGATTAAGAGTTAAAGGTAACTGGCACATAAATTGTGCTTTAATATTTGTAAAGTACTCTACTCATATTAACTCATTTGTATTTCAAAACAATCCTGAGAGGTTGGTTCTGCTGGTTTTATCTCCATTTAACAGATAATTCAACTAAGATGAAGGTAAGTTGAATTACTTACCTATGGTCATTCAGCTAGTAAGTGTCAAGAGGCAGCATATAGATTCATTTCATGTCCAGCACTCTGTACACTACATGGGTGTTTTCCTTGGGTGGTGGTGATGATGGTGGTGGTGATATTGGTGATAAAGAAGCAGCTTTCATTAAGTGCTTACTATGTGAAAGGCAAGCGTTGTGCTAGGCACGAGAGATACAAATGTGCAAATTAAGAAGTTATTTTATCCATTTAAGTTTCTTCATTGCAGGCAAAAAAAATAATGCTATACTATATCTTTACCTGCCTTGATTCAAGTACATGAATTTGAGAGGTTATATTACAGTTAACATCCTTCCCATTTCAAAATGTCACCACTTGAGTTATCTGAATATCAGTATTGTTAAAGTTACTGCTAAAAATTAAGCAAATTGTTTAGTTTTTATCTTCTCTGCTGTGGAATACATTTTTTTTTTGGATTTTTATTATTGTCCATGCTCATAAAGCATTATGTCTGTCATACAGGTTCTATCTTTCACACATCCTACCTCGTTTCACTCAGCAGAGACATATGAGTCCCTGCTGCAGTGCCTCAGAATGGAAGATGACAAAGTAGCAGAAGCCGCCATACAGATTTTTAGGAATACAGGACACAAAATAGAAACAGACCTTCCACAAATAAGATCGTGAGTTGCTTTCTTTATATGGTATCCTAAAGCTTTACTGCTAACATATGACTGAATCATGATTTTACTTATTGTCTTCTCCCATTTTTCTACACATGAATGTATACAGTAGGTTAGCCTCAGTTATTTAGCAGATTTCTTTCTTTCCTTTTGCTACTTAACTGTCAGTTACCACTTGCATCAAAAGCTAACTAGCCAGAAAAAATAATAAGTTAACAGGTTTTTACAAATTAGACTTTTATTTATCCATACATTTGGAATGTGCTCTATTCTTCATTATCATGCATTCAAGGCTTAACAATTGTCACTCACATTCATATTTTAGAAATAAACGAGAGAAATAATTGTAATAGTAATTTCTTGAACAATTGCATAAAAAACATTTTATAAAGAACTTTAATTAAACAGCATCAAATGCCCATATTATTCATCCCAGGGTTTCCACAGGCTGTCATATTTCATAAATACTAAGGTGATTCACATTTACATAGTGTTTTGAGCTTTTCAAAATGTTTTCTTTAAAATAATCCTGCGAAATGGTTAGTCCAAGCATTGTTTACAAATTATGAGGAATTTAAGACTTAGACACTATAAACATGTTGGCCATGAACGAAGTGTAGTGAGTGTTAGAGCTGGAATGTAACACTAATGCTCAATCCTTTGGAGCAGGAACGATAGGCTGGAACCACATTGTTAAAGGTGTTAAATACCATACAGAGGAATTTATATATTCTATAGTCAACATGAAAACACTGGAGCTTCTTCAATAAGAGAGTTAATGTGTTTGGACCAGCACTCTAACAATATCAACATGGCAGCTGTGTGGAAGATGGATTGATGAGGGACAAGAGTCTATGTGGAGAGAAATTTGGAGGCTTATGTAGTAGGCTGGGGGACAAGTGATGAGGGCCTGAACTAGGGTGATTATTGTGTGAAAGAAGAATAGAGAAAAGGGTGTGATGTGAGAGAAGTAGAATCAGTAAGATCTGGCAAATCAATCACTGATCTGTGATAGCATTTAATAAGTGCCTACTATGTGACAGGTACCATGACATGCTCTGGAATACAAATACAGTAAATGAAACAGCCTCCACTCACTGCAAGCTTATATTCTGCTGGGTGAAATTGCAAAGATGTACATAAATATACGTGAAATAAGGAGAATAAATATAAGGCATTTAAATACAAGGCAACTTGAAAGAGTGGGCACTAGCAGTTGAGAAGACCAGGAAAGAATGTATGTGGAAAATGGAACTTGAGCCACAGCTTAAAGGAAGAGAAGAGAGGGATTCTGTGAAGTGGAAGTGAGGGTAGAGCACATTCCAGGTATAGCCTGGCAGCCAGTGCAAACGAATGGAGACAACGAAGAGTAAGCATCATCAGTGAGTTACTCTAAATATGTAGTCTGTTACAGAGTAGCATTTGCAAAAGCCTGCCTGATCTGATCATAGCCTACTTCATATATTCATCAACAGTAATCTACACACATATGTAGATTATCCTCATAAATATTTTGTAGAGTTGAGAAAATGGTCCAACAGCTTCATCCTTGTTGTTATTTTTTGTTGTTGTTGTTCATTGAAAATAATGCTTACTATTTTGTCTAAATATTTGGTACATTTTCCTGTTTCTTGTAGCCTGAAAATAAATCCCTCATTGTCCTCAAAAATCTTCCCTATCCAGCACAAATTTCCTCTCTGTATACTTAGAAAGAACTAGGGAGATTATAGTTTGCTTTTGATGTTTTTTAAGCTGTATTGAGGAGTAGAGAAGGATTAGTGAAGAAATAAGATCACTATTGAACAATGATGACCAGTGACACATGGAAGTACAGTGATTCAATTCTTATATGGCTTATGTTTTCTCTGCCACAAAGTATGACCTTTGCCTAGGAATGAAAGAACCAAAATAGCTAATGGGGAATTTGAGAACCAAAATAAGAGTACCTTGCATTTGATCAGTTCAAGACACATGAACCAGATGAACTACATCTTGAGGACTGAAAGAACTAGTAGATGTTATTGCTGACCTCTTCTCAATGATAATCTAAACGATCATGGACAATAAGAAACAGTCTCCAGGACTAGAGAAGGGTAAATGTCCCTGTTTTCAAAAAAGGGAAATGAGTATAATCTACAAACTAGGGTGGTGAGCTTTTACTTCATTCCCAACAGATTTCTAGAATGTATTATTGAAGAGATGGTAAATGAAATGTTTAAGAAACTGAAGTGGTGATCAAAGTCAGTATCACTTCATCAAGAATAGGCATTTGCATAAATAACCTTATTTCTTTTTACTTTTAGACTAGCGGTTCATAGGAATATTGCGAATAATAGGTTACCTAGATTTTAGCCAAGTATTTGATTAAGTGTTTCATAGTTCTCTTATACCAGCTGCAGATATGTGAGTTAGACAATAGTATAATTAAAAGGTTAGGAACTGGTTCAATGACTGGAACCCAAAATTAGTCATTAATGATTTCATATCGGTTTGCAAGGACATGTCTAATAGAGTTTCTCCTCAATCAGTGGTTTTTCCTGTGTTATTTAACATTTTTGTCACTGACTTGGCTCGAGGCATAGATATACACTTATAAAATTTACAAGAAGATACAATGTCAGAGGGATGGCTCACACACTATATCCAAAAAAGTCTTGTCATCCAAGGATATTGAGCCAGTTTTAATAAGGTGAAATTTAATAAGGAAAAATGTAAAATTGTACATTTGAATTCAAAGAAGTGACTTACCATATATAAAATGGGAGTCATAGTTAGACAGCAGTTTCTCTGAAAAAGATCTGAGAATTTCTGTGTTACGAGTTCAGTATGAGTCAGTCAATTTGATAAGCATTTATTAAATATCTGCTACATATCTGGCATCATGCTAGGCAGTAGGGATACCAATTCAGAAAATGAAACAATCTCTACTTTCAGTGAACTTACATTACTGTAGCAGCCAGGAAAGCTAATCATGTCTTGGGCTGTAGTAAAAGGTAAATAGATTTCAAGCATAAAATAGATGATGGTCCATCTGCACTCCACCTTTGCCAGAACACTTCTGTAGTATTGTATTCAGTTCTGTGTGCAGCACATTTTAGAACAGTCATGGGATAGGATCCAGAAGCAGGCAACCAAGATGATGAAAAATCTCAAGTTGATGACAGTTGAGGATTAGTAGAGAGAATTGAAGATATCTATCCTGATTAAAGGAAATATTGGGTGGAAGTTTCAAAGATAAAAATTAGGCTTGCTGTAAACTTGATGTAAAAGATTTAATTTTGTATTTTTAAAAGTTATTTGAAAGAATTTTAAAATTTTAAAATCAGTCTCCTCAAAAAATGATGCATTTAAATATCCTTTTTTGCCACCATAAAAATAACAGAAACAAGAGTTAGAGAAATAAGACATTCAATTCTGGTTAAATTTTTAATTAATTGTTTTTATTATCTTTATTTTTTGGAGGCTGTTCAGCAACTTAGAAAATGTGTTCATTCTATTTGTTATGTAGGAAGTTCTGGATGGACTTCTAGTTCAGTAATTTTTAAATTAAAATTTTGGCTCTATGTCCATGCTCCTTAAGTAGCTTGTGTTTCATGAGAAATTTTTAAAATGTCATGGTTTTATTGGGGGTGAGGAATCGTCAAGGATAGTTTATCCTCTACAGATTATTTTGAAGACTCAGGTCCTGTGGGTATTATGCTTAAAAGTAGGTATGGCAGAAATTCAGTTAAATAAATTGCTTAAAGTATATGGTCTTACTACATTTTAAGAGTGTTACTTTAATATTTGCAGCACCTTAATTCCCATTTTACATCAAAAAGCAAAGAGAGGTACACCACACCAAGCAAAACAAGCTGTCCATTGTATCCATGCCATATTCACAAATAAAGAAGTACAGCTTGCACAGATTTTTGAGGTATGTATAGCTCATAGGGTTTTTATTTATTTATTTTGCATTGTGGTTTGTTGACTTTTATTGGCTTTGGAGGTTTGCCTGCTTTGCAGATCTAAATAGAATCCTTGCTTATTCAAGGGGCAGTGTCCTGTGCTATCTTTAATTTAGGCTAGTCATTTAGTAGTTTTAGAGATAAGTCCACAATTCTATAATGCTAATTTAGATGACTAGCTTTGTTTTCCAGCAGTTTAAAAGACCTGATTGATGCCATTGGGAAACCTGTTCCCTAGTTCCCCTTACCCTCGGATTAGTTTCTTGTTTACTCCCAAACAGTTCAATATGTGCTACCATGAATTGGATGTGTTTAGCTTATTGCATAATGAGTCACATTTCCTGAAGGTCAAAATTACTTTAAATGTCTCAGCAGTGTGAGAATTCCTCTAGCTATGCCATCAGTAGAATATGCTAGTTGTAGTAGAATGTGTTGGCATTTTGGGCAATGCTGGAGGGAACAGAAGCAGTTAAATGAGGCAAGAGCTTTTTCTCTCCACTATTATAATCTCTCTTCATTCCTTTTAGTCAAACATTTTTCTAAAGGTTTTGCCTTCTCTGCATTTATTTTGTTTTATTAAATTTTAGTGGGGAAGAGAACTAATCTTCTTTTATTCATATTCTTATTTGGTTGCCATTAAGAAACTGTATCCATATTAGCAAATTGTTGTGGATTTTGGTTTATTCCATACTCTACTAGAGTGTGTAGGCATTGCACTGAAGGTTAGTTATAATACCATTAAATTTTCATTTCTATTATTTTATTTTCCCAGCCTCTCAGTAGGAGTCTGAATGCTGATGTTCCAGAGCAGCTTATAACCCCTTTAGTTTCATTGGGCCATATTTCCATGTTAGCACCAGATCAGTTTGCTTCCCCAATGAAATCGGTAGTAGCAAATTTTATTGTGAAAGATCTTCTAATGAATGACAGGGTAAGTGTGTAATTTTTTTTTAAAACATGTTTTCCTATTCTAATTTTGTCATTCACACCTTGCTTATTTTTTTAATAATCAAATCTAGATTGATAATACATTTAAAAAAACAGGATCAAATCATTGCTTTTATTTATACTACCTTGCATGATTGTACCATCATTTTGAAATAGTCCATATTGGTTTTACTCTTCTAGTTTTCCCCTTATTAGTTACAGAATACCTTCTACAAATCCAGGTTGGCTTTTAACCCAGAACCTACTGATTGAGAAAGAAAATGAGGTGAACAAATCAGAGAGTAAAGAAAAAAAAGACAAATCTTATTGTAATGGACTGTTCTGATTCTCTCATGGTGCTGAGATTTTATTATGTCACTTATTGTTTGAAATAAATCGACTTGAGCTTAGATAGTTCTTTTTATACATCTTTAATCCCCATTTATTGTAATAGAAGTGCTCTTGAAAGGCTTTAAAAATGAAATAAAGTGAGAGTTCATTATTGAAAAGTAATTCTTCAATGAGTCATTTTCTAAAATGAATAATCCTTTCTCAGTGTGAAAAATCACTCAGATTTATAAGTCAAACTTCAGAATTTTGTCAAATGGACACATCTTTACAGACGTATTCCTTGTAATTGAGTTTTACTAATCTATCTTTTTCTCTTTATTCTGAAGGAAAAACCAGAAATAGCTCACTATTTCATATTGTACTTACTCCCTAACATGACGTCTTTTGATCAGGAAAGGAAGGATTTTTTTTTTTTGAGGTGGGACCAAATGAAACAATTACAGTGTGGGAAGACAGAAATGAGACTTGGGTCTCCTCAGACGGAAGATATCCATATCCGAAGCAACCAGAGAGTGATGGCTTGTCTTATTCATGCCTATCACTGTTGCTAAGTGAGGCCATAGGAGCAGGGAAATGATTGGACTGTCTAGTGTACTACTTGCTACCTAAGTCCACAAGTTGGAATACCAAAACTTCAGGCATAAAAGACTTTTTAGTGCTCTAACTTCGAAGGGCATAACTTTTTATAGCAAAAGAAGCATGATAAAGCAAAGAACTAGAACATGTTTCTTCTAAAATAAATTTATTCAAGTATCTACAGTCAACAGGTGAGAAGAATGGAAAATTATGGTCTCCAGATGAAGAAGTTTCCCCAGAAGTACTAGCCAAAGTAAGCAGTCTTTTTATATTTCTTATGTCATAAAGCAGTTCTTATTCACAGATACTCATTTTGATTCATTATATAAGCATTTTTCCGTGGAATATTTCATTTCACAACAGATGAAAAAATCTTTGAATACTTAATAGTTTTACATATTAGTTTTCTCTAGATATCTATTATTTTTGTCATTTGTCTATCTCCCTCTCTTGTGGAAATCGGTGTTTCACTTATTGTTTTCTTTCCCCTTGATGTGTGTGACCTTATGACTTTATGAACAATTCCTCTGTTCAGCTTTTTTACCAAAGGAATGATTGTAGAATCAGGGGTCCCAAAGGAACATCAAGAGACCTACATTAGGTGTCCTCAGAGTCATAGTGCAGTTTTAAACCTTAGGTAAGGCTCTAGGGACATCCAATATTTTGTGTCTCTTCCCCCACCCCTTTGAAGAATTGAATAAAGGTGAAAGAGGTGAATGCTTTGGGATTGTTTTTGGATACAGATCACATATTCTCCCTTGATAATCACTTTCAGTATGCATATCTGCACACTTTCAATTACCTCATCCATAATATTAATAAAATACTAAACAGTATTGAGTCCAGCATAACCCCATGGAAAGCTATTCAACATATTATTTTCAGGTTTATATTGAACTGTTGATAACTATTATTTCTCGTCATCTCTTCCATAAATGAAGACGTTACCCATCTAAACTACCTAATCTAAGATAAATAGCTTCTTGGTGACAGTTTTTTCCTGAGGTAGAATAAAACTTATCTTTTTTCCTTTAAAACCTACACTACAAAAAAGAGAGAGCCTTTATTTTAACGCTGAAAATTTCTCCTTTTTTAATATATAAGTTTGGGAGATGTTTTGGGTTTTGTTTTTTTGTTTGTATTTTTTTACATCACATATTTCTGTGTTGTTAGATTTGTTCAAGATTTAAACCTCCTTTGCAACAAAGAAAATAATTTCAATGAAAATAGCTAATTCCTGTGACTACCTTTAACGTTGTATACAGGATTTTTTGGCCCCTTTTTTTCATAGAATTTGAAAACAATAGATAACTGGTAAGCAATCTGTGAATTACACCTGGCCCTTGATTTGTGAAAAATTGTGTCATAAGGGCAAAAAAAGCAGTTGCCACAGCTGAGGTGACAATAACAAAAATAATTTTTGATGCATTTATCCGTATTGTAGCTTCTTCATATTTTATAGGTTCAAGCAATTAAGCTTCTAGTACGATGGCTATTGGGGATGAAAAACAACCAGTCTAAGTCTGCCAATTCAACTCTTCGGTTATTATCAGCAATGCTGGTTAGTGAGGGTGACCTGACGGAACAAAAGAGAATCAGGTGAGGATTTTTTCTCATTTCCAACTTGTTGGCTCCAATATCTTTGAAAGCTATACAACTTATAAAATGACTTGTAGAATACATTTGCTGCTAAGACTGTGGAAGAGAATATGGACACCTTAAAAAGAAGGTTATGATTATGAGGTTTGATAATAAGCCGCAAGTTGACAAACATATGCTAAAATCTTTTTTTAAATCTGACTTGTCTATGGAATATGTTGTGCTAATTGTGAAGAGTGTTTCTTAGTCCTTGTCTTACCATTGTGATTAGATATGTACGTGACTAGGAATGTATTGAGTCACACATGTGAGAAAACCAGCTTTATAGCCCATTCACACCATGTTGAAAGAAAACTAAAGACTTAATAGTTTGGCCAAACTAATAGAGAAAAGATGGCTACTACACAAATTAAAATCTACCATTTTGATGCAGTGCCAGTGGGTCAAGAATATCAAGGGAGATAAAGAGCAAAGGTAAGAAAGAAAAAGAATGATCGGGCCAGACCTAGAGTTATAATAATATAAAAATATAATATAAATATAATATAAAATATCAAACTCTCTGGCATTGGATTAAAAAATGGAAAAGTGGATTCTTGGAATAAATTTGGTTAACAGCATTTAGAACATAATACCTATAGTAGTTTAGTGTTGAGCAAAGCTAAGAATACAAATCACTGAATAGGAACTTACCAGTCAATAAAACTGCTGAGAAAACTAGTAATTTGGTGGGAAATATTATTAGACCAACATATAAAACAACTCCAGATAGATCAATATTTTAAAAAGTCATTTTCAAAGTATGAGACTGTTTTTTATAGTTATGAATGGGAAGCTAATTTTAGTCATCTATTATATATAGAAATAAAATAACACATGCAAAATAGGGATCTGTGAGTCTATCAATGTGATAAACTCCTGGTATGGGACCATCCTGTCTATGACTTAGTAATATTTCAAGAATGTCATTCAATCCTCACAACAACATGGTGGCTCACAAAAGTTAATTGACTTACTTAAGCCCACATAGCTAAGAAATGTCTTATTATAGTGTTTAACACTAAAAGGACTAGAATTTATGAATACCTGAAAGAACCAAGCTGTATCAGCTCTATGCATTTTTTTTAATAAAGGGGGGAAATGGAGATAAGATAAATATTTATTTCATAGTAAAATTGTAGTAACATTTTTGCCTCAATTGAAGTACCTAGCCTAGTTAAATGTTTTACAAGCTTCACACAGCCATCAAGTTGTTTTTTTTTTTAATTTGGATTTATCAACAATCACTTCCATAAGCTTTTTAGTTTTAAATTTTTCTCCCCCTCCCTCCCCACCTCCCTTCCCAAGACAGCGCGCAATCTGATATAGGCTATACATATACATTCCTATTAAACATATTTTCACATTAGTGATGTTGTAAGTAAGAATTAGAACCGATAGGAAGAACCACCAGAAAGAGGAAAAAAAACAACAGAAGAAAAAAATAGCAAATAGTATGGTTAGATCTGCATTCAAACTCTGTATTTCTTTGGATGTGGATAGTATTTTCCATTCTGAGACCTTTAGAGATGTCTTAGATCTTTGTATTGCTGAGAAGGGTTAAGTCTATCAATATTAGTACCTAGCTGATTATGCTATTCCTTTCTTGAGCCAAATCCAATAAGAGTAAGATTTAAACAATGCTCATCTCCCTCCCATCTTTCCCTCTACTGGAATAGGTTTTTGTCCCTTTTCCTGTGATGTAATTTACCCTTGTCTGCCTCCTCCTTTCCTTTTCTCTCAGTACATTTTCTTAGATCAGATTAATCCACTTACTTGGATCCATTTAACCCACTTGAATAGATTTTTTTTTATCATTACATCAAAGTCAACTTACATCCACCCTCTTTATGTATACCCCTTTAACATGGTGTAATAACAATACAGTTCTCAAGGGTTACAAGTATCATTGTCCCTTGTAGGGATATAAACAATTTGCCCTTATTAATAACAAGTTGTTTCTTTCTGTCCTGTTTACCTTTTTATGTCTCTCTTGAGTCTTGTATTTGAAGATCGAATTTTCTGTTGAGCTCTGGTCTTTTTATCAGGAAGGTTTGGAAGTCCCCCTATTTCATTGAATATCCATCTCCCCAAAAGATCGTGCTCATTTTTGCTGGGTACATCAAGTTTCAAATATAAGACATTAACTTACGACTTTGTTACTCAAAGTCCAGCACTCTTACCTTCTCTGCTTGGACTGCCCTTAGATTTATTTAATTATATTAACACTTAGAAAATCATTGGATTAAATAATTACTGCATAAGTAATTAAAATTATAATTTGTAACTCAATTTTTAGATTGTCGTGATTTATCTAGTTATAAAAAGTATTTTAAAGAGCAAGTTAATGGTGGTGGAGCTTGTAGTGGCAGTGGAGAGGGAATCCTCACAGTTTCAAGGCAGAAAAGAATGCTTGTGGTCACTCATAGACCAGAGCACAGGCCAAGAAAGGAGTAAATAGCTCTTCCTTGATCATACCACCTTGTCCCTAGAAATATCTCTGAAAACAGCTGCACAAAACCCCTGAAGCTTGGGACAGTACTCCCTCCACACTGAAAGCAGAGCCCTACCTTAACAAAGAGTTTAAAACTCCAGTAATTGGCTGGGATCCTGAGCAAACTGCTCAAAAAAAGTCAGACCAGAAAAACTTCCCATAGAAAAACAAAAAGTTAAGCAAATCCATGACTTGTCTTTGTATACTCAGCAGTATAATGCCTGCCCTGAAGAATAAGTGCTTAATAAATGCTCATTGATTGATTGATGCACTTACTGAACATAATTGACAACTACTAGTAGCATTCTATCTAGTAGCATTCTGGAGTTCCCCACTTCTCCAGCAGTAATAGGAAGATGAATTACCTCATCTCTTCTCTGGACCCAAGACTATGTTCTTTTTTATTTGTTGTACATGAGTTTATAAGTCTTCCCATGGTTCTCTCAATACCTGAATATTTGTCATTTCTTACTGATGAAATTTTATTACATTGCTGCACAACGATTTGTTTAGCCATTCCCTAATCAGTGGGTATCCACTTTGTTTCCATTTCTTTAATGCTTCCCCCCCAGAATATACAATTATTGTTCACTTGCTGTCAGAAATTAAATTTGTTTTGTTTTGTTTTTTAAAGACTTACTTAGTACTTTACAAACTGAAAGTGGCTCCTTGAGAACAGGGACTATCTTTTTCCTTTTTTTGTATCACCAGCACTTAGCTTGGCATATAGTTGGTACTTAATGTGGATTGATTTGATTTTTATATATTATTTAGCTAAGAGAAATTAAAACATTCATATTACTTAGACTCGATAGCACTAATGTACTTCTTGGCTTGTCAGTTTTGTTTTGCTGCTTTTTTAAAAAGAAATTTAAAGTTTTATTGATATTTTTTGTTTTTGTCTTTATTTCTGAATATATTCTCCTCCCCAACTTCCAGTTATCTTTTCTAAAGGTGGAGGAGGGGGAGGGAGTCCAGTAAAAGTAACCAACCTGACATGTGAAACTGACAGTGTGTTCTTCGCCTTGGGGCTATCACCTTTCCTCCTCACCCCCGCTCTCAGCAAACTGGGGAGAGAGGAGGTATTTTTTTTTTTCTCTTCAACAAACATTTAATAAGCACATAGTGTGTTCCAGGGTGCTCTACTAGATGTGAGAATGGTTCCTCCCCTCAAAGAGCTCGCATTTTATATCATACAAACAATGTACATGCAAAATAATTACAAAGTAACTGGGGAGCTCTAGCAACTGAGACTACTGGAAAAGCTTCCTGTAGGAAGTGACCTTTGAGGTGGCTGCTATTTTTTAATCTACTTTTGCATAGCTGAAGTCAGTGGCTGTATTGGGGTTTGTTTTCATTTTTATTTATTTATTTTTTAGTTTTGCTGGTTTCTAAAACACTTGAAAAAAAAAGTGTGTTCTTCTGTGTTCTGCCTAGTGATAATTTCTTCCTTTGCAGTAGCATTCCATTGCATTCTCTTCTTTAAAAATACCTCTCAATCGACACTGTACTCCTCCCACTCTATCAGCAGAAAACTACACTTCATACTTTACTGAGAAAATATTGCCCATTTACCCTAATCTCTAATGTGTATCTCAAAATCTCTTGACATCATTCCCCCCTTTTCTTCTCCTTTACTTCCTATCTCCATTGAAAACCCAACATTTCTCACCAAAACAGAGGCCCTTATTTGTATTCAGTCTCACCCCTTCCTGTCTCCTTCCCCAGACTGTCCCCATGCTGTCATCCCCTCTTTGTCTTAAATCTGTAATCTTGACCTCCTGTCCAATGGCTCGTTTTCTACTGTCTACAAATACATCTAGGTCTTTTCTCTGTGCTTGTATCCTAGAACTCTTGCCTCATAAGTTTGGGTCCTATAACTCCTTCCTTTCACAGCCAAACTGATAAAAATCTGTCTACATTCATCAGCTTTGCTGCTTCTCTCTCCTTGAGCAATCGAGCTTCCAGTTTCATTAGTCAATTTAAATTTCTTTCTCCACAGTCGACAATGTTGCCTTAATTGTTAAATCTGTTAGTCTGTTTTCAGTCCTTCAGAACTTAGTCCTGCTTACTACCAAACTTCTCTGGACACGCTCTCCTCTGGGTTTTCACGACAATGCTTTCTTCTTGGTTGTCCTCAAACCTGTCTCACATCACCTCGTCTCTTCTCAAATCCTCCACATACCGCAAAGCTCTTTCCTACCTTTCTTTTCTTGCTGTTGCTCTCTTGATGACCTCAACAAATTCCATGTGTTTTTTTATTATCCTTTCTATGCAATTGATTTTCAGATACATAGATCCACCCCAACATTACCACTTATTTATTAGACACTTAAAACTCTATGTCCCATAAACATCTCCAGATAAACATATCTAAATAACTCTGGAGTGCTACATCATCAAATTAACGTTGAATGTTTAAATTATAAGTCACGTAGATACCTTAAACTCAACATGTCTAAAAAAGAACTGATTTTCTTCTCCCCAAAATTTATATCATTTCCTATCTTCCATATTTCTTTAGAGAACAAAATCATATTTCCAATCACCTAGGTTCCTATCCTTGCAATCAAGGTTAAACTCTTCAGTCTCTTTCACTCTACATATCCAATGAGTTATCAAGTGTTATTCTGTCTCCACAGCCCCTCTCACATTCTTCCTCCACTCCACTCACACCCCAACTGTAATTCAGGACCTTATCACATCTCACCTGTATTTCTACAGTTAAGGAAATCTTAATTGGTTTCCCTGCCACCAGTTTGTCTTATTCAATCCATCTTCCACATAGCTGCCATACTGATATTCTTGAAGTACAGGTATGACCATGCTGCTCCACTGTTCATTATGTTCCAATGGCTCCCTATTACCTCTAAATCAAATACAAACTTAACTCCCTTCTTTTGACATCAAAGCCCTTAGCAGTATGACTGTAGCCTCTACCTGTGGAGGTTATCACTCTTCCATGACTTCCTATCCCCTATGATTATCATCCACACGGGATACAATCAATTCACTTAAGAGTTGTTAACTGCATTTTTTGATAGTTTGAGGATACTGTTATAGCACTTGATCTCGGAAAGCAGATATATAATCACTCAGAAGAGTTCATTGTAACAATCTACTTGGGAAAGCAGAATGTTTTTTTTCTTGATTGAAACAGTCAGATGGATAGCCCATTAAAATAGCCCATCAGCATACATTTATTGTAGCAACTGAACATGGATTCTGACCTGGCCCCCAGGTTGAGTTGGTGAAAAATAGCTAGGTTGAGTGTTTTCATGAAGTGATTCAGCACTTTCAGTGATCCTGAGCTGTTCTTGAAACAGAAACCCATCTTTTTATCACTTTGTGCTGTCCTGGCACCTCCATATAGAGTGGAGTTGACCTGAGTTCTCAAAGGATAATGCCAACAAAGCACAAACTCTTGACGGAGTACCATGCTGGAAAGGTTTTAAAGGATGGGTTAAGTAACAAACTGTTGCAAGTTCTCAAGTACCAGCTTCTATGTGTGGAGAAGCTTATGACCGTTAGGCAGGCAAGCAGGGACTAAATTCCTTAATCATGGCAAACCATCCTTGTCACAGTAATGCTTCATGATTGAGAATCATAGAACGCCACACACTTTTAAAACACACACACACACACACACACACACACACACACACACACAAAGGGTAACCTAGATATCATTAATAAATAAGTTACAACTTAAATATATCATTACAGTGATGACAGGTGTCCAAGAAGTTTTATATTTTTTGTGTGTGTGTTTGTGTTTGTTTTTTGGGTTGTTGTTTTTTTGGTTAGGCAATGGGGTTAAGTGACTTGCCCAGGGTCACACAGCTAGTAAGTGTTATGTGTTTGAGTCTGGATTTGAACTCAGGTCCTCCAGAATCCAGGGCCAGTGCTCTACCCACTGTGCCACCTAGCTGCCCCTCAAGAAGTTTTATAGCAGATTATCTAGGAAATGTATGAAATGGAGGTGAGCCATGCTTGTAGTAAGAGCTAGATATAATAAATTGGCTACTACAGTGGACACCATGTAATGCAAAACTTTAGTGGATCAGTGAGGTAGTTCTTTTGTAGATAATTTATGGAAAGACATGAGCAAGAGTCACCCATGAGAAAATATGCCTACAATGAAGTTTTCGTCAATGAGATTCTGGCTCCATTTAAGTTTTGAAGGAAAAAAACATCATCAAGCCTAATGCAATGCTGCCCTTTCATATTTATTTAACTGCTATTAACTGCCATGTAACTGGACAGCTAAGAATAAGAACGTTCCTTTTGAGGAACTAATGTGTAGAAGACACAACAAATGTAATGAGCATAGTAATGAAACATACTATCTCCTATGCTCATCAACAATAACCATTTAGCCCAATTTATTCATGTAATTAAATACTGATATAGCACATGCTGAAAGACAGGAGCTGGTGGTTATAAAAAGGTAGATTAGAGATTTTGGGAGGGAATTGCATTTTTGGCCAAGTTGGAGGTTATTCTACAGAAGAATTCACTTGAAAAAACTAGAAACTGGATGTAAAAAGTCTACAGATTTAAAGCTCTTTACGGAAAACAGGTTTTCTTGGTTGTAGAGGAAGGTCCAAGACGACATAACTAGAAATGAAGTTAGTAGCAGGTTTCGACTAAAGCAAGGCCTTAACACCTCGTGCCCTTCACATTGGATGAATAGCACTGGATGAGTTATTTTACAATGGAAATTTTCCACAAGGAGAAGTGCTTTAAAAGAAAAAATAGGTTTCTCATTTTTTTTTTTTTGTTCTTGATTCATTTATAGTAAATCTGATATGTCTCGTTTGCGACTGGCTGCTGGTAGTGCCATAATGAAGCTTGCTCAGGAGCCTTGTTACCATGAAATTATTACACCAGAACAGTTCCAGCTCTGTGCACTTGTAATTAATGTAAGTAACAATGAAATGATAGTATTAAGAAATAAATTACACAATTGAGTTGGAATATATTACAAAAACTGATTACTGTATACTATAACCTGACCCAATTAGACATTCCTACAAATGACTGAAAAGTCCATTTTCTTCCATTTGGTTGGTAAGTGAACAGGTAAATCACTTAAAGTTAATTTATCATGATTGATCATTTTAACTCTAGAGAATTTTCTTTCAGCATTCAGAAGCATTAGTATTTCATCCTACTTGGGTTTTTTTATGTGTTTGTGTGATTTTTTTGTTGTTGTTTTGGTTTCCTGCTGTAGGATGAGTGCTACCAAGTGAGGCAGATATTTGCTCAAAAACTGCACAAGGCTCTTGTGAAGTTACTGCTCCCATTGGAGTACATGGCAATCTTTGCCTTGTGTGCCAAAGATCCAGTGAAAGAGAGAAGAGCCCACGCCCGACAGTGTTTGCTCAAGAACATCAGCATACGAAGGGAGTACATTAAGCAGAACCCCATGGCTACTGGTTAGTAATGACACTAAAGGCTATCGGAAGCATAATTTTTGAAGGCTTCATTTTCATTGTTTTCAAAATGTCAAGCTTCATTCTTTCTCTCTTTCATAGTATTTCATACTTGGTTTTTTTTTGAGTCTCTTAGGATTGAGACATATAAATATATCTTACCAATTTGACAACATTTGGGGAGAAAAATTTATCTTACAATAGGCTTCAGTATTTTCTGAAAATTTGCCATAATTTTAGATAGAGTGTAATTAAAACTATGCTTTATATTCCCTAAATATAACTAAAATTCTGACTATTAAATCTTAATTGTAACAACGCTGTATGTATATACATAATTTTTTTTTTTTAGCTTTTCATTTTCCTCTCATATAAATAATCAGGGTGGAGCTTGAAGTATAGGACAAGAAGTCTAGAACCTACCTTTTTTTCTTAACTATCCCACTAACATGTTTTGAGACCTTGGAAAAATCTATATAGGCATACTAGCGTTCATTTCCTTCACTACGAAATGGAAATAATATCTTCACATTATTCTCCTTGACATACTATCATACCTAATTTGGAAATGAACATTAAATGCTTAGGATTACAAAGAAAGAAGAGATATATAAAAATAGTTTTTATAGTTTTATTATTTTCATTTTAGAAAAGCTCTTATCCCTGCTGCCTGAATATGTAGTTCCATATATGATTCACTTGCTGGCACATGACCCAGATTTTACAAAACCTCAAGATGTTGATCAACTTCGTGATATCAAAGAGTAAGTGTTATTCTCTTCAAGAATTCTAAGTTTAAAAAAAAAAATATGTCCTCAAAAAGATGTGACATGTTCCAAAGGTTGCCATTCTTTCAGAGAGTCTTTTTATGGTCTTATTTATTTACCAAAATATTAAAACCTTTAAAAGTTTGTATCAGCTTGTCCAAAACAGTGGTTAATAGAGAACACTTGTCATTCCCTACCAACTAGCTTCCTTACTGTTTTAAAATTAAAATAATTTGCTAATTTTACATAAATGGGGTTGTTGTGAGAATCAAAATGAAAGAACTTTGAAAATCTTAAAGCCCTATATAAATGCAAGCTATTATTATCACGAATTATTTATTTTTGGTCATTTGTGCTGGGAGTTTTGTCTACCTCTCTTCTATTAAGCATACCAATTAGGACCACATATGATTTTTTTTTTTTTATTTTTATTTTTTTTTTTTTTTTTGCGCTAGGAAGTGGGGTTAAGTGACTTGCCCAGGGTCACACAACTAGGAAGTGGCAGGTGTCTGAGGCTGGATTTGAACTCAGATCCTCCTGACTCCGGGGCTGTTGTTCTATCCATTGCACCATCTAGCTGCCCTGTCCCCTCTTCCCCCCACACACATGATTTTTGAAGCAGCTTTTTTCCTTTTTTTTTCCTCATTTCCAGTTTTTTCTTTTGAATTCTTTTCTTTAGTTAGAATTTTCTGTCTAGATACTTTGAAGTATCTACTTCTTACCCAGCATGTAATTTCACTTGCTTCAAGAAAATTATATCAATATACTTTTTCAAAATTATTGAATATTTAATTGTCATGATTCCCTGCCCAGTTTTAGTTACCAAAATTATTTCAGCAGTCTCATCCTTATTGGGATCTTAACAAAAGGATTTGTTCTGTGAAGTTTGAATTCGGTCAAAGGGCCACACTTGAGAACATGGAGGCCACATGTTCCCCACCCCTGAGTCACTTCCAATAATATCTATTTCTCTTGACAATTTTACAATGTCCCTGAAACCTTGAGCCTTTTTCTTATTCTCAGATCATACCTTATTGTCCTTAGTCATCTATGTGCATATCTGTAGTTCTTTTTTTTTTAACTTTATTATTTATTATTAACACTTTCTTTTTTTTAATTAATTATTTTTCAACATATTGTTTTGAACAATCACTTCCATAAGCTTTTGAGATTTAAATTTTCTCCCCCTCCCTCCCCAAGAGTGCATGCAATCTGGTATGGGCTCTGCATATACATTCCTATTAAAAGAAAAAAAAAGCAAATAGTATGCTTCGATCTGCATTCAAACTCCATAGTTCATTCTCTGGATTTGGATAGCATTTTCCATCATGAGACTTTTGGAGATGTCTTAGATTCCTGCATTGCTGAGAAGGGCTAAGTATATCATAGCTAGTCATCACACAACAACGTGGCTGTTACTGTGCACAGTGTTCTCCTGGTTCTGCTCACTTCACTCAGCATTAGTCAAGTTTTTCCAGGTTTTTCTGAAGTCCATTTGCTCATCATTTCTTATGGAACAATAGTATTCCATTACATTTATATACCACAACTTATTTAGCTGTCCCTCAATTGATGGGCATCCCCTCAATTTCCAATCCTTTGCTACCACAGAAAGAGCTGCTATAAATATTTTTGTGCATGTGGGATCTTTTCTTATATAGTTTCAACAAGTTATACATTTACATATTTGCATGGGAAAGACACATTGGGAACATTGTCACCACCTTCAAATACTTGAAGGTCTCTCATACAAGAAAAGGTAAACATATTCTGTATTGGATGCCTGACTTTGCTTCTGAGGTCCGAATTAAAATCTTACAACTTTTGGGGAGCCAGATTGGACTCATTGAAAGAATTTCCTAGCATCTGAAACTGTTGAACAGAAGAACGGCCTGCCTCAAGCAGAGATTGTGTAACCATCTGCAGTAGGTTGTAAGTTGTAGAGGGGGTGCCTGCAGGATCATTTGGAAGGCTGAGTGAGATGGCCTCTTAAGCTCTGTTCAGCCACCAAAGTTCTGTTTTTCTGTCTCCTGCATTGAACTATAAGTTTTTTGAGGCCAAGGAGGAATCCTACATTTTCTTTCCTTAGTAATATCCCACTTGAGCCTAATTACTTAGTATATCTTGACTAATTTCTTAGTATGGCTTCTTTCTTAAGATGTTCTTATCAAACTTATTATCTCTTTAATTTCCTTTTCATGGAGTAGGTAGAGTTTGATTTTATCCCATAGGAATTTTGTAATAATATGTTTCAATTAAGGATAGCCTACATGGTCATAGTGCCTCTGATGTGTGTATGTGTGTATCAACCCATGTCAACCTCCATCTTACATGTGTATTTATGTAAAATTATTCAAGGTGCCTGTGGTTCATGCTTGAAGTTTTAATGACAAAGAATGAGAATAACAGCCACGCCTTTATGAAGAAGATGGCAGAAAACATCAAGTTAACCAGAGATGCCCAGTCTCCTGATGAGCCTAAGACTAATGAAGTATGATTTGTTGGGTGCTTTATTATTTTACGAAGAGGAACCATTCTGTTTTTCTGTGGCCATTGACTTGCCTTTTTCCTTTCCATTAAATCAACAACTCTGATTTGGAGAATGATATTAAAAGCTAAGATGGCGGGTTTTCTTGCTTTACTTGATTTATTCTAGTTTTACTGGATTCTTTAATAATGTGGGGAAGAAAAACAAAGTATTCTCTTTAGTTCAGGGGGAGCACTCTGTTAAATTCCACCTTGTAAGTGTGAGGCCCTAAATCTTTAGTAAGAACGTGGACCAATCAGGTATAGCTTTCTTGTCTTCAGTGGCTTATAGACATCAATTGTAAGCTGTAACAGTGGCGATCGTTATAAATTATAAGACAGCAGTTAAACATAATAGGAGACTACTTCAGAAAGAAAATATGCTAATGTAGCAACAGAAACTGTTGTAGGCATTAGATGTTCGATCAGTAACTACATAAGTTTAATATGAATTGTTACTTGTTTTTATTGGGGTGGTACTGGTATATTTTGTACTCTCATGAAAATCTTTTTACATGTTTTTTTCCCTCAGAAACTTTACACAGTGTGTGATGTTGCACTTTGTGTTATAAACAGTAAAAGTGCTTTATGCAATGCAGACTCACCAAAGGACCCAGTCCTCCCAACCAAATTTTTCACTCAGCCTGAAAAAGTAAGTTCTTCCTACCTACTGAATTGACTTAAATTTAGCTTAGTTTCAACTCAGTCCTCTTGCACTAGGGATCAGAAGTTAGACTAAAAGCTTTCAGAGGAATTCCCTTTTAAAATAAATCCATGGGCAGATTTTTTTTCTCTGTAGCATTTCTTGCAAAGCATGTTGATATGCCATACAGTTTGAAAAAATGAGCGTCGACATTAGTTCAGAGTAAAAAATAGATGTTTTTGAGGAGAGACTTGTTTTTTTTCTAAAGTGTAAATTTCGGGGGGAGGGGGTTAAGTGACTTGCCTAGGGTCACACAACTAGGAAGTGTCAAGTGTCTGAGGCCAGATTTGAATGCAGATCTGCCTGACTCCAAGGCCGGTGCTCTATCCACTGCGCCACCTAGCTGTCCGTAAAGTGTAAATCCTACAGGATGGCTTTATACTTTTCATATTCTGTTGCATTGTCCAGCTATAGTTGACTAATATTTTTGCTGCCAAGAAAGAAAAATAAAAAGAAAATAGCAATATACTAATGATACAAAATATTAATTCATAATATCCACCACTATAATCGAATTAATGTTCTTTATGTGTAAAATTTTCAGATGACTGAAGATTATGCCATTTACATACCAAGCTTTTTTTTCCAGTTTTATTGATATATTTTGTTTTTACATTACACACATTTGCAGATTACTCCACTTCATGAAAAGTCTCCTGTAACAAAGTAAAATATTTAACTAAAACTAACAATACAGTGATCTCAATTGAAAGCGCATGCCACATTTCACATCTCTACAACCCCCCTCCCTACCTCTCTCTTTTTAAAAAATTAACCGAAATTTTTTTAGTCTCCCTCCCATCATCCATCTCATTAGGGGGGAAAAGATAAATTTCTTGCAGCAAATATACAGTCAAGCAAAATACATTTCCTCAATGACTGATAGAAAAATATGTCTCAGTTCTGTACCCTAAATCTATCACCTCTCTATAATGAATAGCATGTTTCATCATCAGTACTCTGGAATTATGAATAGCTTGTATTGATCATAGTTCTTACAGTTTTCAGAGTTGCCTTTACAATGTTGTTGTTATTGTACAAATTGTTTTTCTGATTTTGCTCATTTCATTTTTAATTACCTTATAAAAATCTTAAAATGTTTTCATTTTTAGAATACTGATATTATAGTATAAATAATTCTATTTCTGCTTACTTCACATTGTATCAGTTTATGTATTTCCATGTCTTACCACTTTCTTATAGCACAATAGTATTCCATCACACTCATGTGTCACTTGATAGGCATCCCCTTAGTTTCCATTTTTTTGCTACTACAAAAAAAAGATGCTTATAAATAATTGTGTACATGTGGGACCTTTCCAACTTCTTTTCTTTCTTTTGAGTGTAGACCTAACAATGATGTAGCTGGGTCAAACAGTACAGATACTATTTAGTAAGTTTTTGTGAATTATAATTCCAAATCACTTTCCAGAGTGGTTCTGCCCATTCACAGATACAAAGCTTTTTTTTTAAATTTATTTATATCACTCCAGTTGAAAAAGATTTTTAATTATTCTGTTCCTTGATTTCTTAACAGAAGACATAGCACATTGTAATTTTTCATTAATAACACAGGGTTCTCAATAAAATAATCGATCATTATTCACTGATACCATAACATGGCAGTGACATCAAGCCTATTAAATTATACTGCGCTGTTTCCCCCTCCACTAGGTTGCCTCAGACTCTTGCCCTTTTTTTAGTTCTGGTTAAAGTTTTTTCTGTGTTCTTCCCTGTCAGCTCTGTGAGTACTTGCTTTCAGTATGCCTCGCTCCACAACACCCAAACACCCTTTTAACTTGCTGTTTCCAGTCTGTGGATTGGAAAACCAGATAAACAAGCATGTTGTGTTTGAGTTAAGATTAGACCTAAGGCTCTTGGGAAGGTCTTCCACATCTTTCTCTCCTTTACTTTAAACTTTAATTCAGGTAGTTGGGCCCCCCCCCTTTTTTTTTTAATTTCCAGGGCCATTTCTCCCTTTCCTACTTTTTCTTCATTCTTACTTGCGGATGGTTAAAGTTGCTAGATAAGTGACCTCTACATAAGGATGAGTGAGATGTTTATTCTGCTGACATTTTAACTTAGTCTTCTATTTCTCTACATTTCTCCATTATATTAAACTGAGAAAGTGTTAGCATAAAGCCAAATTTGATTTCTTTTTAATAGCTTTTGGATGGCATTCAAATACCTTCAGTTTTCTGGTGCATAGCATTCATTTGTTTTCTTTGTTGAAAAATACCAGCATTTAACAAGAACAATATAATTTGGTAATTATAAAGTATTACACTGCAGTTGGATACTTGATGATATAAATTAGTAATATTTTATAGCAAAATGAAGCAAGTGTGTCACTTAAAATAGATTGGTTTCTTATACTAAATATTTTCCTCAAGGGCAAAATTGATGATAGTCAATGGGATGTTCACACAATAAACAAAAAAGAAAGAAGAGTTTATAGTAAAAAGTAAAGAATGGCTTTAAAGGATTACAGTGGTTATAAGAGGAGATTGTAGAAAGCAAACAGTTTTTAAGTGCTGAGGAAACATTAAGAAAGAATGGTGAGGGTATTAACTTTAGGGAAGCATCTTGGAGGAAGTAATTCTTGAAAGTTTTTTTTTAATGGTTTTTTTTTATTAATTTATTTTGATTTATCAACAATCACTTCCATAAGATTTTGAGTTTTAAATTTTTCTCCCATTCCCTCTCCAAAACGTAATCTGATATAGGCTATACGTATACATTCCTATTAAACATATTTTCACATTAGTGACATTGTAAGGAAGAATTAGAACCAGTAGGAGGAACCACCAGAAATAGGAAACAAAACAAAACGGAAAAAAAAAGGGGGGAGGGGGGCAAATAGTATACTTGGTACTGCATTCAAACTCCATAGTTTTTTCTTCTTTGTGCATATTCCATCATGAGACCTTTGGAGATGTCTTAGATCTTTGTATTGTTGAGAAGGATTAAATCTATCAATATTAGTCATCACACAACATGACTGTTACTGTGTACAACATGCTCCTGGTTCTGTTCACTTCACTCAGCATGAGTGCATACAAGACTTTCTGGGTCTTTCTGAAGTCTGCCTGCTCATCATTTCTTATAACACAATAGTATTACATTACATTTCTATACCACAACTTGTTTAGCCATTTTGAAACAGTCTTGAAGGCCATTATGGATGCAGATTGGTGAAGGGTTAGAAAATAAGAAAGAAAATACTGAGTTATTTCATTGTAAAGGTATTTAGGAAATTCTGACAATTATACACATAAATCATCAAGTTCCACAGATCTCTACCATAATTCAAGGCATATAGTAAATGCTTGTTGATGATTTAGTTCATTTATATAATGTATGTTAGGTTTCTTAGCAAAAAATACAATTAACTGGCAAAATAAAGTTTTAATAAAAGGCTAACAAAATTAATTGATTAAAGTAGATATTAACTTTTATTACTGTTTCTTTTTAAAATAGGATTTCTGTAATGACAGGAGTTATATTTCTGAAGAGACAAGAGTTCTCCTATTAACAGGAAAGGTATTCTCAGATTATTTTAGTTCTTTGTTTCTCAAATATCTAACATATTTACCATCCCTACAAAGTACCTGAAAGTATATTTGTAAATGTTAATGTGTAATTTAAAATTCTAACACTGAGCATCATTTTATGATAATGCAAGAATGAAAATTGGACTATTAGAATAAATTAAATTTTCATAGTTGACAGCAATGTTTATATAGCTTCAACTTGTTTATTACAGGAACAGTAATTTTTTTTTCATGGTTACCCATTTTACTCAAGTATAACAGAAAATTATATTTTTTTCAGAATTATTTATTCCATTTATTCTAAAGTAGAAATAATCATTTGACTTTTTAAAATGTTATCTGAACACATATCTATTCTTTTCAGTAAAATAATATGTATTTGTTTTTACATTTTAGCCAAAACCTGCTGGAGTACTAGGTGCTGTGAACAAGCCTTTATCAGCAACAGGAAGGAAACCATATGTCAGAAGCACAGGAACAGAACCTGGAAGCAATATTAATGTAAACTCAGAGCTGAACCCGTCAACAGGAAATCGATCAAGGCAATTTCCTCCTAATTATTTTGTTTCTTCTGTTGACTTTTTTCAACTCTTGATTTATTCTGAAAGCACTATATCAAATCATGTTCTTTTGCCTTCAGGAAATGTGCTTGTGTGAAATAGTAATAAAGGGGGAGAAACAGAATAGATGCTACTTTTATACAGTGTATACAGTGTGAAACATTTATATGTAATGAAGGCATTGTCTCTAACAGAAAATGAGTAGAAACTTGATTTCAGATGTATCAGTCTCAGGTAATTGAACTTCACAACAGTAATTATCATGTTCATAGTATATAAGATCAATCAAAAGAGCATGTATTCAGTGCATAGATTCCTAAAAATGCCATTGTTGTGCATTGAGATCATCCATCCCCATTTATTTTATAAGAATCATAAATCTGGTTACATTATAAACTACATGTATAAGATAACTTTCTTTCTATTGAAACATTAACTTAAGTGTAAAAGAAAAATATGAATTAAAAAAGCTAGGGATTAAATGATACGCTGCTTATTGTATGTATAAAAATACTTAACACTAAAGTAAATGTTGATAGTACTACCCACTTTTTAAATGCTGAGTTTGAGTTCCCATTGAAAATGCTTAACACGGTAGTAGCAGACTAAGATGTATACCTTTAAATGATTTTATTCGTGAAGATGAGTACTTTATCAGATAGGATATCTCCTTTTGGGTGATAAAACAAATAGTTGTTTTTTGTAAGATACAAAACCTGGACTTTTTCCAATGTCTTTTCATTAATACTTTTTGTCTTATAATTTTTATCTAGTCAATATAATCTAGCCCTTAGTACAATGCCTGGTACATAGTAAGCCCTTAATAAATGTTTGCTAATTTATTGATTACTAGAGATATTGAGATATTCATGTTTATGCCTTCCGAGGTGAAACAAAGTATGGAATCTTTTGCTCACCGTAGTCCAAAGTACATTGGACTGAAAAATCAGGCTACTGGGATCATGGTTCCAACTTTGTCACTAATGAGTCACTTAACAGCTTTAGGTTTCTACATTCTTATTTGTAGAATGCCAGTGGTCCCACTGTGTGATTTCTGAAGTTTTCAAACTCCAAAATTCTATGTCTGAATTTATGTTTGCTAATATAATGTGTTAAAATGTATGTTAGACCATTGATAATAATATTTTTTTAGTGTCTGCACTGCTCACTTTGCCCTACTTATGTGTGGTAAAGTTTTCTTAGTTAATTTTCTTTAACAGGGAACCAAATTCAGAAGCTTCAGAAACTGGAGTTAGTGAAAACGAAGAGAACCCAGTGAGAATCATCTCAGTCACGCCGGTGAAGGCTGAGCCTGTAAAAAACAAGGTAACCGTCTATCCATTTGTGACTCTTCTGGAGAATTTCAGCGCAGACCTAGGCACAGGATCCATGGTCACACTGTGTGCAGGTTCATTAGGGTTGGGGCTGTTGCCCAGCTACTCAGGAAGTAAGAGCAGCCAGCTGTTGCCTCATTTTTGAAAGTTTTCTAGCTAAACCCCAGCTTCATGGATGCAGTTTTGGAATTCTTGTTTTGTTTTTTGTTCAAAGTCACTATTTTTTTTTTTGCCTACTTTTAAAATTTGTCCGTTGTTTGTTTTTCTTTGTTTTAACAGCTAAATACTTCAGACTATTAGGCCTGTTTTACAAGAATAGCAAAGTGAATTCAATCTTCCTTATACACTGTAGGCAGAAACAGACACTCTATTCCTGTAGGTGTCCAAGTAAACATTCAGTCAATACGAAATAGAAAGGGGATATCAATACATGAAGAGTAAATGACCTATTTTTAGCAGTCATAAGAATACATTGCAGCTCCTGCTTCTTTGAATTCATTTTATGCATAGTAGAAAAATTTTCAGCCCTTCATTTTTATTCTGTAATAAAAAGGAATAATCAAAATCTATTAAGCACAGTTATATATTAACAAAACCAAGAATCCAAAAGAAATAGCCAAATACCTTCAAAAATACCCAAAGTGACAGAAGACCAAATAGAGATCTTAAATTAACCATTCTCAGAAAAGGAAATAGAACTAATTGTAAAAGAACTACCAAAAAAAAGTGAATTCTAATGGATTCATAGGAGAATTCTATCAAAGAACAGTTGGTATTCATACTGTACAAATTATTCGTAAATTGAGAAAGAGAAAGCATCCTTCCAAATCCTTTTGTAAGATATAGACCTAACACCTAAACCAAGGAAAGATAAAACACCAACCAATGTCATTAGTGAATATCAATTCAAATTTTTAACAAAATACTGTCAAACTAACTTGATATAGTTTGCACTTGGAATCAGTGCCAGCTGAGTTTGAAATATTTCTGATCTACTTACTAGCCATGTGACCAAGCATGCCACTTAAACTCAGAGCCTCGGTTTTCTCATTTACAAAATGGGGATAATAAAAATATAATTTTGGAGTTTTTTTTTTAACAGCCCTGCATTTTAAGATTGTTGTGAGAATGCCATATGAAATACACTTTGCAGTCCTTAAAGCATGGGTAGTCTAGTTCTACTATAGCACTTTTCCATTTCAGAGATAATGAAACCAAGATTCATTGATTGGCTCTAGCCTCGGACATCTGTATTTTAAGTACTCTTGCCCTAAAGAATGCCCTCTGACTTGTGAATTTCAGAATTTTGAATCCTGCAGTTTTGGAGAGGAAAATCAACTATTTGGAGAATATAAAATTAATATAAAGTTCTAATAGCTCTTATCTATAAAACTGGGGCATTACTGAAATTTTGTATTTTATACTTTGGAGTTTTTTTAATAGATTTGAAAAGCATTATTCAGAAAGTCTACCTTGACAAAGACTTTTTAAACCATTTTCATAAAAAAAAAAGTTTCCATTTATTTTATTATTCAAACCACCAGCATAAATTTAAAATTCAAAAAAAGTTATGCACTTCAGTGGGAAAATAGGATTCAACTTACATATAACACCTCAGAATACAGCTTTAATGTAAAATTCTGTATCACTTGCTTCCCATATAATAATCCTCTCCCTGAAAAAAAATACTGGACTAGAAATCACATCTAAGTTGTAGTCCTGAGTATGCCATTAACCAGACAAACCACTTATGTAAAATGAGTAGATCAGAATTATTTAAGCCCTAGAGACTGATGATGATTCGTCGTCTTTCAGCTACAGAATTCTGTAATTGTAAAAATAACATTATATCTTGCTTTTTATATGTTATAAGTATTCCTCTTCAATTGTTTGTAAGCAAAATTTTATAAATTGGATATTTTTTAATTTACCTGATTTTTAAATTTTATAAATATTATATTTTTGATTTATCTTCATTTCCTATTGACATTTAGTTTACTATTGTTTCTAATCATGCTTTTGAGTGCTGTATATCTACCTACAATGCTGTGTCACTGTTTTTAACAACCGTTTAAATGAATTACTGAATTTTCATGTTTAAATGACTCTCATGGTGACTCTTATAAAATTATGATTCAATTACCTTCTTAATTTATCAGTTTTTAAACTGAATTTTTTTACTGGCAAATCTTTGAGCAGAACACATAGACATAGAAAACAACTCATCTATTTATTACGTTTCAGTTCATGGATGAAATAGTAAAGTAGTTGGCTGTATGCATTGCACATATGCCACCTGTACAGGAATTGACAAAGTCCAGATTCATAGATGGAACACTTTCAAAAGGGTCTGGTGTATGTGGTGTGAGGAATCTTCTAGAGCTCATCAGCAACATTTTCAATGTGCTATATGTTTTGTATTGTTGGGTTTTTGAGTTTTTTTGTAATCTTACCATTTTCAGTCAGTGCTAAATAATTGATCATGTTTTTGAGAGTGAATGGGGTACCTGACAGCACAATGATATACCGGTAATTTTCAGCTATAATTATCTTAATTGGTCTGATATTGGCATCAATCATCTTTTATCTTTTCAGAACCAGGGTCTATAAGATTTAATAAATTCTATTCTTAGATAATAAGATATATGTTATCTTAAAGATATGTTATACCTGAGGAAAAAAGTCAGTAGATTTTACTTGGAATACATTTCCACTGCACTTAGGATTCCTAGTGCAGGGTAGTCATTTTTATGGAAAAGTGTGATTTTCCATTTCTTTTTCCTGCCTACCAATCCCCACTATTTCTTCACTTTTCAATAGCTTTCAGATATGGATGATTACTATGTGATGAACATATATGTCACTGGATTTTATTTGGACTCTTGTAGGAGATTAACTCTGATCAGGCTACTCAGGGCAACATTAGCACTGACCGAGGAAAGAAGAGGACAGCAACAGCATCTGGAGCAGAGAATATCCAGCAGAAAACTGAAGAGAAGAAGGCAGATGAGACAGGACCACCCGTCCCTCCCAAGGCCAGACGAGGACGTCGGCCCAAGTCTGAATCTCAGGGCAGTGCAACAAAAAATGAGGAAACCAATAAATCTTCTGGGAGGGGAAGAAAGAGGGCCGCAGTTGGTCAGGAGAGCCCAGGGGGGCTGGAGGCAGGCAACGCCAAAGCACCCAAACTACAGGATGTAGCCAAAAAAGCAGCACCAGCAGAGAGGCAAATTGATTTACAAAGGTAAAATAAAGTAGCTTCTCTCCAAACCTTGAATTGTAAAAACGTATTTTTAAAAAATATTTTAGTATTCTAAAGTTGTTAGCACATACACTTCAACCTGTGAATAACTCCTTTGATGTGGTACTTTTATAGAAGAAATAGAAAAAGAAAAAACTCAGAAAACAACCAACTTCTTTCTGTATTTTTGTGTTTTTATCCCATTGACAATTAAGTTCAGTACTAAACATTATATGCAAAAAAGTTTACCTAAAGTACATTAAGGCATTTTAAAACTATTCACACATTCTGCAGTAGTTTTTAGCTTTCTCACTGAAAATTTATGGAAACTGTGGTATTGAGAGATTTTAAAGTGAGTATACTTGAAAATATGTACAAATAGAATCCCATTTTAAATTTAATTATTTATACAGAATTTATTGAGGTTCAAATAACTAAGCATTTATTAAACTCATATTCTCACCTGTGGTTCCAAGAAGCTGTAGCATATGCAGTAGCCATACCCCAGAAAAATCGTTTCCGAAAACGAGCTAAACCAGGTTGAGTGTAACCAACAGGCCTGAAAGCCATTGGTGAGTTTAGGGGATGTCGACCCTAAGCATGTGAAGACTTCCCCCAGCAGAATGGACGGATGAGAACAGTTTGTTCCAGCAGCCATGGAAGCAGCTGAAGCCTGTGGTATGGAACACTTAGAGCTTGGTCAGACATTCAGGACACCCATCCAGGTCATCCACTGCATCCCAGGCAACCAGTTGTCTTCTCAAAACTGCCTCACTTAAATTCACTCATAAAATAAGTCCCGACATCACCCTTGTGATGTCATTGGTCCCCTTTGAAAAAAAATGACCAAGGGGCAGCTAGGTGGCGCAGTGGATAGAGTTGGGGGGGGAGGGGAGGGAGGCAATGTGTACACACCACTAAGTCTATCATTAGCGCAGAGATCACGAAGGGGGAGGAGGTGGCCCATGTGGTTAAAGACTGAGAAAAGACTCTGATTGAGCAAGCACAGTCATCAGCCTCCTAAGAACAGTGTCAGTGAAGGCAGATTGCAAGAGGTGAGAAGTGAGTGAGAGGAGGACACTTGGAGTCGAGGAGAGAGGCCTGTCCATAGTTGTTTGGCTGCTTGAAAGTGAGAACAGAAAGGATTACAGCCAAAGGATCCCTGGGCAGATTTATAGGTGGCTGAGAAGTAAAATTTTTTGGTTATAAAGAGTAGATTTAGGAAGAGCAAGTCACAGAGAATAAGTTGTGTGGAGATGAAGTTCTGAGTTGCAGATCATAGGGGTGCAATAGCCCACGTTTCCCTACATCACTACACGTTTTAAGTCCCTGTTGCCTTCAACAGTGCTGTGATTGTGTCTGTGTATAGCTAAGGTGGACTGGAAGTACAGGCCTCGGGAGCAGATGAAGTGGGAGGCCACTGCATTGAAGGGCCATCAACATGCACATTCAATTTTGTGAGGAGAATTAGGGCGGGGATTGGGATGGAAAGGGAAACTGCCCCTAGGATCTCACTCGTGTGATGTCCCAGAGGTGATGGCAGCATGGAGAGGGCAGAGGCTCGGGGGCTGGGAGTGAACTACATGCTACAGAGGGGCAGGAGGGAGGGTGACTTTTGCGAAATGACAAGAGCAATTTGAGGGAACTTGTGAATTAAAGGAAGTTTGGTGACCAAACCAGGACTCCAGAGGACATGATAAAACTAGAGCCGTGTATGGTGGGTGAGATTAGCGAGAGTAGGAGATAACAAGGAATAGTAGGAGAAGGATGAAGGGAAAGGGTTTTGCCCAGGCTATCAGGAACCCTGTTGGAAAAAACTACCGATTTCTGCAGCATACAGGAGGGACAGATTGTTTGGAGGTAAAAAGGATATAAATTTTCAGTTCTTCCTGTTCTCAGTTTCCTAGTTAGTAACTGTTATTTCTTGGTTTTGCACATTACTTTAGTCTTCACCCTACCACAGTGAGCCTTTTCATTCCCAAAAGAAAGCCCACCTTGATAATAGATTGCCTCCTCTGTCATTCTCACTCATTCTTTTCAATCTCTCCCTCTCTACTGGTTCATTCCCTACTGCCTACAAACATGTCTGTATCTTCCCCCATCCCAAAAAACTCTCACTCAGTCCATCTGTTTCCCACCTCTGCTGTCATCCTCTATCTCCTTGACCCTTTGTGGCTAAACTCCTTGAAAAGCCCATCTGCATTAGGTGCCTGACAATCTGACTTCTGACTTCATTATTCCACTGAAACTGCTCCCTCCAAAGTTACTAATGATTTCTTATTTCCCAAATATTCTCCTCAATTTCTCTGCAGTCTTTAATGCTGTTAATTACTCTCCTCACCTTAATAATCTCTTCTCTCTAGGTTATTGCAATATTACTCTCTCCTAGTTCTCCTATCCATCTGATTGATCTTCTTTATTTCCTTTCCTGGATCCTCATCCAGATCTCTCCCTCTAATTATATGGGTGTCTCACAGGGTTCTTGTGTCCTTAATTCCCTTCTCTTCTCCTTTATTCTACTTCACTGTGTGATCTCATCAGCTACATGGATTTTAATTACCATCACTATGATGATGATTCTCACGTTTACCTTTCCTGCCTGAGTCTCTTTGACTTCCATTCTCCAGTCTCCTGTAGAGGGGAAGACCGTCCTCTCAATCCCTCAGGCTCAAAATCTCGGAGTCATCCTGGACTTCTCACTATCTCTCACACCCCACATCCAAGCTGTTGCCAAGGCCTGTCGATTTCACATTTGAAACATCTCTGGAAAGTACCCCCTTCTCTCCAATGCTTCCACATCACCCTGGTGTAGACCCTCATCACCTCATGCCTTGATTATTGCAATAGGCTTCTGGTGAGTCTACTTACCTCAAGTGTCTCCCATTTCATTCCATCCTCCATTCAGTCCCTAAAGTGATTTTCCTAAGAGGCAGGTCTGACCATTTTACCACCCTACTCAATAAACTCCAGTGGCTTCCTGTTACCTCCAGGATCAAATATAACACCTCTTGGCCTTCAGAGCCCTTTATGACCTAACCCTCTCCTACCTTTCTAGTCTTACTTAAACCTTACTCCCTGCCAAGTATTATTCCATCCAGGCACACAAGGGGCGGGCTTTTTCTTCTGGCTATTTCGCAAACAAGACACTGCATCTCTTGGCTCTGGACATTTTCTCTGGCTGTACTTCATCCCAGGAATGCTCTCCCTTCTCTTCCTACTGACTTTCCTGGCTTCCTTTAAGTCCCAACTAAAATCCCAACTGCTACAGGAAACCTTCCCCAATCCCTATTAATTCTAGTCCCTTCTCTCAAGCATTCCCAATTTTTCCTGTATATAGCTTGTTTGTACATATTTGTTTATTGTCTCCCCCATTAGATTGTGAGCTCCTTGAGGGCAGGAACTGACTTTTGCCTCTTTTTTGTATTCCTGGCACTTAGCACAGTATCTGGCACATACATAGTAGGTACTTAATAAATATCGATTGATTGATTGACTAATTGATTGTCCTAGATGTATTTAAACTGAATAAGATTAGAAACAGCTCTGACAACAATCAAGAATATGAAGACCTACCTTCTTGGTAGAAGATAGACACATAGATATTGATACAGACATAGCTAAATAGAGAGATGCATGGATGTGAAATCTACTTTCTGACATGATTCTGAGAGCATTGAACCCACTGGGAACTACTCCTCAATTGGGAAAATTTATTTGATTTTCACCTAAATTTGAAACAGCATATTTTTGTGCCATCTCCTTACCTGTACTTCTCACTGAACAAACCAGCATTAAAATGGTTGGTCCCCATATCCAATACACATATTTCCTGTAATTCATTTATGTTCAGAAATACCCATTATATTTCTCACTATAGAGGTAGGGAACATCTTAATTTTTTTTTGTTGAGGCAGCTGGTTGGCCCAGTGGATAGAGGTCTAGCCTTGGAGTCAGGAGGACCTGAGTTCAAATCCAGCCTCAGATACTTGACACTTACTAGCTGTGTGACCCTAAGCAAGTCACATAACCCCAATTACCTCACCAAAAGACAAAAACAAAAATTTTTTTTGTTTATATTATTGATATTTTTATTATTGACATGGCCGAGTGACTTAACTATGCTCAAAATATAAGCTGGCTCTTCCCTAGAATAGAAGGGGCTTAATGAATGGCTTTCTACTGAAATGTTCCTTAAATATGAAAACCAAAAAAAAGTACATCTGAAGAACCATATGGGAATCTTGATCCATGATTTTGAGGTTGAAGTGTATTAGAATATAACACAGAGGAGAAAAGGAAGAAGGAGCACTTTACACTTGGGAGTTAGAAAACAGCTTTTTACTGAAAAGAATGAAACTAGAGCAGGGGTTCTTAAGGTTGTTTTTCTGTGTGTCACGGACCCCTCTGGCAGTCTGGTGAAACCTGCGGACGCCTTTTAAGTATAAAATAAAATAAGATTATGAAGAAAACCAATTTTTTTGAATGATAATTTAAAAAAATTTTAACCAATTCGTGAAAAACCCTTGAATTAGAGTTTCTGAAGAAGACCCTGCATATCCTTTAAGGCATAAAGATGCTCTCAAGCTAAAAATCATCTGGTAAGAAGCAATAGAAAGGGCACTTCCTCATTGTAGGGGTAGGTGGTGACTCCCCACTGAATTACTCTGAAATCTATTAAGCTAAAAAGAAGTTGCAAAAAGGGGCCTTTTTTCCGTGGAGAGAGAACTTTCCAAGACTTGTCAAACCAGATACTATTGCCCATTTCTCATGATTCCCTTCAGGAAAAAAATGTTTCTGCCAGAAGGAATCAAAGAAAGCATTGGTAAACAATTACTAAACAATTTCTTGAGCAAGAAGGTAAAGACCTTATCACAAGCAAGAGAGAAAGGGAGATTTGGAAAATAAGCAACTGGCTTATTAATTATTATTTGCTTAAGCAAATTGAGTATGTGAGAACAAGATTCATATTTCTGTTATAGTAACATGTATGAATGACAGGTTCC